TGATTGTTCGCAGCAAGCACCGACCGAAGCGCCCGGCATACTGGATGGAATGCTATGGCAAAGCATACACCCTCTAGACGTCAAAGGTAAAATCGAATTTAAATACCCCCCCCCCCCCCCCCCCCCCGATGTCTTCAAACTTCTGAACAGTACCCTAAACTCGAACCATATTCAATCACGATAAGCGTCAAATGTGAAGAAGTTTTAAAGAACGAGAAAAACTTGCTTTATAATCTCTATATTTTATGAAGACTTTTAACGAATTATAGATCGAATCCACGCAATTTTAAATTGGAAAAATGCCATGGAAAACACCCTAAGGTGAAACATACCATGGAATTTGTTACATTAGTCGTTAAAGTCTAAAATATCTTCCTCTCGTATGTCTATATTTTCTAGAACCTTCTAACGTTTTAGAAAAAAAATCCAAGCAATTTTCACCCTATTCTGGAAAACAATCTCTAGTGTAGACATTAAAGGTAACCAAAGGTAGCATGGAAATATTTAGTTGCAGTTAGGAACTCAATTATGGACAGATCTAGATTAACTTCAAAAGCAAGGCTTCTGCAATTTTCCGATGTTAAAAAAAGTTAAGCTTACATGTTCGCCGTGTTCTTTCCGATAGGCGGACTTGATGTGCGAAGCGTTTTCTACCAGTTAACTCAAAGGCTCTTCTATTTACAGAGGAAGAAGGCGAAGCGACGACCAGCGTGGAGGGCGCGCACAGCGTTAAAGACGACGATTGCCTGCCGGTTAATGTAATTATAATATCATCATCACCAGCCTATTAATCCCCACTGCTGGGGCAGAGGTCTTCCCAAACCCGTCTTTCCCAGTGGGCACTTTGGGCAAGTGCCCAGGGCCCCGTGATCGATAGGTGGGCACCTCAGATCACAAATACAGGGGCCCCATTATCTTAATATGCCCAGGGCCTCCAATAGGTCAAAGACGGCACTGAGTCTTCCCTATGGATGGAATAGGGAGACTGGGCAGTGACCCACCACGCGGGCCCAGTGTGTATTGCCGAGTGCTAACGACTGCAGATGCAATCGGAACCAACGGTTTAACTTGCCTTCCGAAGCACGGAGGAGTGAGAGATAATAAGTTTTTGGTCACCCATCCGATGACCAACCATTGCGAAAGTTGCTTAGCTTCCATGATCGCAGACTGAACGTGTTTAACTACTTAAGCTCTCGAGCTTCTCGTTGTTTTTTTTGTCAACAACTTATACACATTTTTAATACTTTTGTAATATTGAAAAAAGTCCGCACACAAAATGACAACTTTCTATAATGTGGGATTGTTTAGTTATTCAGTCAGTCACTGTGCGTGTGTGTGTCGAACGCTTGGTAGTATGTGTTATGTTTATTACTGGTCTGCAGGATTATGTTATATATTTTCAATGCATTATTATGCCAGCACTTTATTTTCCTATTCGTATTTGCTGTTTGCAAACTTAACAACAGTCTGTCCTTATCATGCTTTATAAGGAATGAAAAGTACAGACTCGTATCAAGTTTACAAAAGCCAAGTAAAGACATTATATAAACATTATAAACTACATTACATTCTACACTCCATTGTCGTTTAACATTTAACTATACAAAATTGTACAGTCGTCTATGAACAAAATGTGCTTAAATAGGTGTACGAATATTTTCCTTCGCTTATTAATCATAATAATTATCTTAACAGATGTCCAACGGGCGACTGTCGAGCACGAACGACAGCGACGACACGATGCCGAACGTACTCGAACCCCACGTGCAAATCATCCCCCATTCATCCCCCACGCCCCCCCTCAAACCCTTGCCCAACCCCTTAGCTATCCCACACATACCTATCCTCCCCAACCCTTTACAAGCGATCGAACAAGCCAGAATACAACAGAACTTACTGCAGAAACTCAACGAACTATCCAATACCCCTTTGAATTTGAGTCATTTGGACGATGAAAAAAGGAGGAATGGTCACGAAAAAATACACGAGAAAATGGATGAAACGATAAAACACGACTGTGGGACCGCCACGGAAGAGGAAAGACTTTATTTCACGGCGAAAAGACAACACGCCATATGGGAACATGAAGCCAAAATGAAAATTCTAAACATGGAACTCAGACAGAAGGAAGAAATATTTTCTTTGCAAAAGCAACTGTTCCTGATCGAGTTAAGGTTAAAAATGGATTTTCTGGAGAAAGCCAGCGCCAAATAAGGTATTTGTGACAATAATACGTTATTATTATTATTAAGGTGTTTCTGTTATCGACACTGGAGTGTCCTAATTGTTGTTCTACTGGCAAACAGACGGGGTGTCGATTCTGCTAAGTCATTGTGATAATCGTATCTTCACCCCGGCAAACTTCTTAGCAACGACCAGTAACAAGAAACCCTGCGCAATAGCAATTTTACATACAAAATCGTTTACTACGCAAAATTTTTGTCTGTAGTTTACCTATATTAACATTGTTGCAGTAGTTTCGATTTTTGACACAGCTAGTGTTACTAGAACACAAAAACACAAATATGTTTGCTTTACTCATTTGTTATTGTTATATGTATGTGTTTTTATTGTATGTTTTAGTAACAAAAACTGTGTTTTTTATGTTAACTTACCAGAGTCGAGCCCTGCTCTGCTGAAACGTATGAAATTCAGTTTAGAACGCGTTTTAATTGTGATGTTTAAACGTCGTCCAAAATACATAAATATAATAATTAGACTAGTTGTAGTGCCATAGTTGATATTATAAACGTTACCCGTTATTAAAATGACAGTCGTTAATTTTGGTCACAGACCATAAAGTCGCAAGTTTTAAGTATATTATATAGCATTGAATGCATATTTTATTATGATATTATTTTACTTACCAATAAATAAACATGATGACAATTTTATTTAACGTTGAGTTTTTATGGTTTGACAATACCATGGTACAATTTCTTTTTACATTTCGTACCGTGTTCTGTGATTCTGATAGTGCAGTGCAGTCGGTAACACATCAGGTTTTTCGTTAAAATTGAACTTTATTGCAATAGCTTTAAGGTGTCAAATCTTTAGATTTTTTATGGTTTATGTTAAGCCAGTTGTGCTATTGATTGCATGCTGCTATTTTTCGATTATTTTGCATAGCGATTATGTTCTATCTTTTAGTTATAAGCCAAGACTAACGTGCTTAATATTTTATTTTTCAAATACGAAATTGTTTTGATTATAAATGTTTTTAAAAGTATTACTGACAAGGCAGCTACGGTATAATTATTACAGTGAAACTTGTTTTTTTTATTTTAATATGTGTTTTCTGAAATTAAGTGCCAAAATTCTTCTACTTTCATAATTTGTCATTTTTTGGCATACAAATAAAAAAAACTTATTATTTGCTTGCAAGTGATTCAAGTAAGTGGAAATATTCACAGTATTTTTTTCTTTTCTCTATTTTAACAAATTAGTACTTAGCGTTTTATGTTATATGCTTACATTTAGGTGTAATAAAACCCATATTTGGGGTGAAAGTACTTTTGACATGTGTCAAGTATAGCGAAAAGCTATAAAACTAGTCGTAGATTGTATGACAGTTGTATGAAGTAGTGTACTTGAATATACCATAGTTTTCACATCCTCAAAATAAAACCATAGATATTTATTGTATTCGACAATAAAAATGAACGATAGGTACCCAAATCTTTTATACATTTGTATAGTTATATTTTATTTACTTAATAATTTGCATTTACAATGTAAATTACTTTGATTTTTTTTTTCTTTTAGGAAAAAAAATGTTGTAATTGCGTTTGATTTATATATCTGTAGATATAGTTATTCTTAACGCAATAATTGATAGTTATATAACTCTTTCGGTCCCAAAGATACCTAAGGCATTACAAAAAATATATACAAGTAGTTACATATAGTTACAAAAACGCTCAAATTTAATCTACTTCTTACAACTGCATATTTTGAGTCAGTGACGTGCCAATAAATCGAAAAAACTATTGTTAAAATAATAATAAACAAAAGAAACGATATAGTTATTACATATATAAGAACATAGATAAATTATAAATAACATATACATACGTAAAATGAACGTAGATACATAAACGGAACATAAATTCGACACAAATAATATGATATTATTAGGATTATGTATTAATAATTGTAGACACAGTTTAAAAAAACAGTAAGTACAAAAGATATTAATTAAAAAATACCTCAAGCACAGTGTATTATTGTAAATAAATAGTTAAGTAGATATTGTATATTAAAAAAAATGTTTTAGACCATTTTTTATATGGAGGCGACTTACACCTTCCTAATTTTTTATTAATCCATTGTTCTGTTGCCACGTGAGAGATGTGATTTTTCAAGCTTGGCAACACATTTGGGTGTAAGGGCAAAATGGCAATACTGAAAATTTTTATATTTTTAACAGTGACATAATTATGTGATGTATTTTGCGATCTCAGTAGCAATCCTCTTACCTTGCTCCTTTTGATGTCTTAAAATATTGTTTTAATTATTTTTGGAACAAGCGTTATGTTTATCTGATTAAATTGGATATTATTATTGAAATAAAGAATTTATTTTCTGTTCCGATGTCTTTTATTGCTTAAACTATTAAGTGTTTCATACACGAAACCATACATAGTCCATGGCACTACCTAAGGCAGTATCACCGATGACCAACAAGAACCACAATTTTTCTATTCCAAGCGTCTGTAGCTCAGTGTTACCATATTTAGTGATCTTTTTTGCTGTTACCATATTATGTGATCACTGGTTCTTATTGGTCATTGGTGACACTAACTTGTGGCTGTGTGAATTTTCTGATTTTATTGACTGATTAAGTTAAAATAAAACATATAAAATTTTGAGATATTATGAATTACTTACTTACTCACTCCCAAACTTTGACGACCTAGTAGGCATTTATCTCACAGGATTTCAACTTTGATAACCACAAAAAAAATGAGATCAAATACACAAATGTAAAAAAATAAATCTTAGCTACCCATCGTTCCGTTCGCACTTGTCACACCACTGAGTATTCCCGGTTGCAACGTCTCCATATTTTGCTCCTTGTGCATTCTCACATGAGCTTTGAGTCCGGACGACTTCCGGAAGGACTGGCCACAGACATTACAGACGAACGGCCTCTCTCCCGTGTGACACCGTATATGGGAGACCAGGTCTTGTCGTTGGACGAATGCTTTCTCGCAGTAGGAACATTGGTACGGCTTCTCTCCTGTATGCGTTCTCCTGTGGCTCTTGAGAGTACCTGATTTGTACAGAAAAACAATGTGTATTTTTTTGTAAAGACCAGTGAAAAAACAAGGCATTGCGTAATCTAAATACAATATGGCTGACCCTTGTGATATTGGTATCAAATAGAAAGATGGATCGTTGAGAAGAATACATAGACGGCCAGGATGGGAGACGGCATACACAGCTTTCCCCTCTGTCGAATTGAGCATACAAATGATTCATTCATATTAAAAAAAAACTACTTACTAGATCTCATTCAAACCAATTTTCGGTGGAGATAAAATGAAATGAAACTAGAAAAAAATGATATAAGAAACCTCAATGGCATTTTTGAAGATCTATCCATATTTACCCCACACATATGGGTTTGACGAAAGTTTGTATAGTTCTTATAGTTTCGGAAAAAAGTGGATGTGACATAAGGACAAACAGACAGGCAGACATGACGAATCCATAAGGGTTCCGTTTTTTGCCATTCTGCTATGGAACCCTAAAAAATAGATTACAGTCTGCAAAATAAAAAAAAAACAGCATGATAACAATTAATTTTTATAGACTTTTCTGCCCACTCATAAACTGAAGACACACGTGTTAAAAATTAAGTTCCATACACTTTTCCAGTCTGCTTAGAAGTACATCAGTAATGAGGTCCTTTCCACTTCATTTTTAAAACAAGAATAAAGAACTTTCCGAGCAGGTGTAGTATAAAGGATGCCATATAAAAAAATAATGGTTAATAGGAAGTAACATTAAAATTTTCTTCCTTTTTGCACATTCTGGGAAGGCAAAGGGGACTCACTTTAAACAACAGCCATGTTAAGCCACAAAGAATAAAAAACACATAGACTAATGAAATTGATTAAATGGAATCTGTGAGACAACATAAACAGAAACCATTTATCTCTCTCTTCAAACAAACAAACCTCATGTGACGTTTTTAACACGTTACAAGGATATTTATTACCTGAGGCACTGAACTTCATAGGGCACAAGTCGCATGCGTATGGCCTCTCTCCAGTGTGCACCCGTCGGTGCTTCACCAACGAGCTGGAAGTAGTAAACCCGCCCCCGCACTCGTCGCATACGAACGGATGCGCGCCGCTGTGCTTACGCTCGTGCGCGTCTAACTCGCCTTTTGATACGAACCTGGGTAAAGAAGTTTGTTGATCAATAGGTATATTTTTATTTTCAATGGTCCCTTTTTTTTTTTGAGTGTGTATGCTGTTGGTCGCAGATGACCTTTACAGCGTCGCCGGGTTTGGGGACGGGATAGAGGGCGGTGTCGTCGGCGAAAAGCGCGAGATCGACTTTAGGAGTCTTGGGCATGTCGTTCGTAAAGAACAAGTAGAAGATAGGCGAGAGTGGCGAGCCCTGAGGGACTCCGGCGCGTATTGGACGAGGCGAGGAGAGCGTTCTTCGACGCGTAGCGAAACGAGCGATTCGACAAAAAGTCCCGTATGATGAGCACGAGTCTATCCGGCACACCGAGTTTGTATAGCTTATAAATTAAGCCATTGTGCCAGACTTTGTCAAATGCTTTCGCCACGTCGAAGAAAAGCGCACCTGTGGGAATCGCGGAGGCTCGATATAGATCGCGGTAATGGCAGATGTGCTCCGTTAGGCGGTGCACCTGGTGGACACACGAATGTTTGGGACGGAAACCAAACTGTTCGTTCATAATGAAGTTGTTCGCGAAGAGAAAATCTTTAAGGCGGCTACCGAGGGCGCGTTCGTAGTTTCCCCAGTGTTTTGAGGAGACCAATAGGGCTGTCCCAAGGTGTTCAATATTTGGAGTCAGTGCCATACATGTTGATAGATTACTTTGCTTTCTCTATATATAGATCTGAGTTACCATTTGTTGCTCGAGTTGGCATAGCATCGACAAATGCAAATTTGACTTTAAATGTACTTTAGATTTAAGTAAAGAATGGTGTCCAATCTGGCATTTCTTTCTCTAAACTTAATACTTAATTTAAGATCAGTCTCTCCTGTTCATCCTGTATAAAGTATGACAAGGATACACTGTAAGAATTGATTCTGACAGTGTATCCTTGTCATACCGTTGACATGAGTATGTATATTTTTTTAGTGTTTTTATTTTTATGAAGTCAGGTTTTATTTTTGTTAAAGACATGCCATATTGATTTAAAGAATATTATTATTTAAAGAAATAATTCAGATATTATAACTTACTCCTTCCCACACTCTCGGCATTTAAAAGGTTTCAGACCTAAATGCCTCCTCATGTGCTGCGCCAAATTAGTCCTCTGACTAAAACCTCGGCCACAAATAGAACATAAGAATGGTTTTTCTCCTGTGTGTGTTCTTAAATGATCTGTCAAAGTGGACAACATGTTGAATGCCTTACTGCAAACATGACATCTGTGCTTCTTCTGTTTTTTGTGCTTCTCCTTATGTATATCTAACGTATCTTGCGAAGGATAAATAGACAAACAGTATTCACAAGTGAAGCCTTTCTTTTCTTTCCTGTGCATGGACGCTATGTGTTTATCTAAATGACTTTGATGCTTAAATTCGCGTTTACATGTGTCGCACATGAATTTTATGCTGTCCTGAATTTCATGGTGCTTCAAATGTGCTATTAAGGAAGTTTTCTTTTTGAGTTTTCTCATACACAATGAGCATTGGAAATACTCAACTTCTATATTAACATTTGATTGTACACATTGTGTTTCCTTGTGTTTAGTGAATGATTTCTCAGTTTTAAATATCCTTTCACACCACTCACATTTTATAGGCAACAAATAACTTTTGTGTTTTACAGATTTTATTGGTTTTTGCAGATTTTCTATTGATTTATCTTCCTTATTAACAACTGTGAGATTACTATCGAGTGCATACATCAAACTAATATCACTAGGAAAACTAGCCGCACCATTATCATCTATAAAATCTGAATTCATATCATCCTCATTGGAAAAATATGGCATTTCATTTTTTATTGCTTTCTTTAGCTCTAGTCTAGATAAAATTTCATTTGAACCACAAGAGTTGTCTTCCAATTCGTTTTTCATGCTTTTCGTAAAATTTGTACTATCAGGAAGTTGACATTGATTTGTCAATTTATTAATATCAATATTGAAACCGGTTTCCTCTTTCTTTACCTTGCGTATTGTGATGGAAGGATCAACAACATAACTTTGGAATACCTTGCTTAAAAGTTTCTGTGATTCGACGCAGCGCTGTCTAAACTCATTCGCTGTTAATGCGACCGTCTCACAATCAATGCACACTTGCTCGGGGAACTGTTTATCCGTTTTAATTGATATATTCGACACTAAAGATACAACATCGGCAAGAGTACAGCCTTTATCAACCAATTCTTTATTTAGCGAAACCATGTTTAGCGACTTTTTCAAGCAAGTTCTACAAAATTGTTCGGGGTTCAACTTTATAGCTTCTTCCATTGTAGTTCTGTGCCTTTTAATAATTAAATCAGTAAAAAAATTAGAACAAACAAACAACAAACCAAATCAGTTTGACAACTGACTTGACAGATTTTTTTTTATTTTTATTAATTCATGCTTTTAGGTAGGGCAAAGGGTATAATGCCTATACAGCCTAGTCTTCAGTTTTCTTTGTTTTTTTTTACATTAGAATGTGTGTGTGACGCAATCTAATGTCTCTTGGAGTGTTTGACATGAAATATATCGGGTCAGCTTTCTCGATAAGCTTCTGTGAGGTAGTCAACATTACACTAAAATTCTCACGTCCACTTGACCGACTTTGACTTCAGTTGTGCAGATGGTGTTACACAAAATCACACCAATTTATTTTTCAATATCGACTATGAAAGGATTAAGAATAATTAAAATAAGACGCCAACCGCACTCGATGACATCCCGCAATAAAAACTTCTTTTTTTTTACGTTTGAAATATGTTTTGTAAAGATATTCGTCTGCCGTTATTAAAGAACAAAGTCGCGGTCACGCATCTGTTTCTTTATGGTACTCTCTAATTTACGTAATATTATTACAGCCTGTTCAGTTCTCTGTTCCTCTAGAACGCTCCTCAACTTGATTCGGTATCACTTGGGTATCCTTTTTAAATTTCGACTCCGCATGTTACTCCCTTCAAGTTTAATTTTCGCAGCAAACGGTTTTCAAAACTCATTTGCAGGATCCCATCTATCTCTATACTGGAATTCAGCAGTTTAGAAGTGAAAGCGTAACTTACTTTCGCATTTATATAGTTAAGATTAGAATTGTTTTAATATAATTACATAAAAGGAAATCGAATATACACATTTCAATAAAACAACATAATTATTATAATATCTATATATTGTTATAAAATATCTAACTATAGTAGCGGCACGCTGTGATTCCCAATTTGACTTAGTACGCCTATCAACATCAAGTTTCAGTTAGCTAAAGGTGTCAATTCTGTCACGATTCTCCAAAGCTAAACTTTAAATATTTATTATAAATTATTAAATATTTAATATTCATCTATTTCCCTATTTCATAATATTAAAATTAAAAATTAAAATATAATATAAATCAATATATATTCATTCATATAATAAATGTATATTGAATATATTAATTAATTTTTGACATCAGTGTATCCCTGTCGTTCTTTATACAGAATGAAAACGATACACTGATCTTAAATTTAGTTTTAAGTTTAGAGAATCTTGCCAGTGTTATATATCATAAAAATAAACAACGAGATTATTCACCACAAAATTCTGAAAATCGTTTATTAAATCTTAATAATCAGCTACCACTTGAAATATTGGTTAAATTCCAAAAATATAATTAACTAGCTGACTCGGCGAACTTCGTACCGCCCAAAAGTAATAATTTGCAATAAATTAAAATTGCGACTATAATTTGAGATTTAAACTATCCTATCTCTCAAGTTGGATCGAACTGCACATGGTGTGCGAATTTTATTATAATCGGTTCAGTGGTTTAGGTGTCCATTGAGGACAAACATTGTGACACGAGATTTATATATATTAAGATATCCAGATAGGACTCGTATTTGATGATGTTAGATTTTTTTTCGATAACTCGTTGAATTTTCACGTCACTTTTTTAATGTATCAAAACGGCCACCATAACGTGCCGCGACGAGATCTGGTATTAGAGCTGTTCTGTTGAAGACCTTTGACTTTGTACAAAAATGAAAACGTATGATGTAGCTAAGCTAAACTTTAAAGTTTTTTGAAATAAATATTGACATTTTAAAATAATTTATAACTCGATTTTTTTATACAACACAGTTAAAAATTACAGTATTTTTTTCGTGATTGGGGGAGTACCCATTAGAACGCCTATTCGATGAACTTTTTCATGAATTTTTCTCTTTCTTATCGCATAGAACATTCTTCAACAAAGTGAAACAGAAAGAGCTAACCACTTTCGTCCGGTTTTCCACATATCTATCTTAAGGGAACAGTTTAAGCGATCAGTACCCAGAGCAGGCACGATTATCGAATTCGAATAGTTAAATTAGATCTATTTTATTCATCAAATGTGTACTGACTTTAATTTTCGTTACGTCTGTTGTGGCGCTGCTGTTCAAATTTTACAATAACATTTCGCACTCGTAATATATTCGATCTATTTTATTATACGTCAAATCTGTACTGATTTTTAGTTCTCGTTACGATCGTTGTGGCTCTGTTGTTCAAAATTCCATACAAAATTACACAATGACATTTCCCACTCGCAAACTATTTGAATGCGATATTGGTTCGTGCTAAATGTACAGTATCCCAAGCATGCAACTTCGACAGATCCGTTATCGTATCGCCTGGTCAATTTCTATGGAAGCAACGACTTCTATTCTATTCTATTTTTTGTAATAGTCGGGGAGCCCAAGCGGGGATTTTTGGATTTACTCGAGCGCGGCAGAATAACATATGGGGAGCAACCTTGCACGTAGTTAAGTACTCCCACTATACCTGAGCCATCTTTGTAGGGCCGAACGTCTAGGGCAGCAAAAACAAAATTTCAACAAACGGCCATGACTTTTGGTCGGGTCCAAATTGTCAGTCTTTTGAATAGGAGCTACTGGAGGGTTCACGTAACATCCCTTCTTAATGTCTGACGCGCTCAGTTATTTTTCCTATATTCTACCCCTTCGTACGGCCACCCCCATATCATGCAAACCGCGGCAGATCAATATTTTGCTGTTCTTAGAAACGTTACATGAACCCTCTAATAGCTTATATTCAAAAGGCTGACGATTTGGGCGCGACCAAAAGTCATGACCGTTCCTTGAAATTTTGTTTTTGCTGCCCTAGAAGTTCGGCCCTACATAGAGGGCTCAAGTATGGTGGGAGTACTTAACTAGGTGCAAGGTTGCTCCCCATATGTTATTCTGCCGCACTCGAGTAAATCCAAAAATTCCAGCTTGGGCTCCCCTACTATAAAGGCTGGCTGTTGTCTGCTTGGACAATTCTGCCAATGTCAGGGTTGAGTGCTACAGATGATCAGTTTTTTTTGCAGTTTTACGCATCTTCCATTATTGGCCGGTTGAGTGACCTAAAGGGGTAACTTAACTGACGTAAGAACATACCTACTAGCTTTTTCGATTGAAAATTTGACATGACGATACGAATGCTTTTTCTTTAGCTGTTCATGCTTGGGGTACTGTTAATGTCGGCGGTTTTTATGTGACTATTATTCACTAATAGCAAACACGATAGCCACAAGGCTATAATTTGACGGCAGTCTCTCCTTCAAACTGCAAAACATTTGATAGAATAACATGGAAGGTCCATAATATATTATGTGCTGTTAATTTTAACTAAAAATCACCCTTCAAAACATCCTTTACATTTGATACTCTAAGGGAGCAACTTCCATTTTCATAAGGTTAAATTCAACTTTATGTACATACACATAAAGTTCACATTAAAAATACGGGCTTAAACATTACACAATTTAAAATATTGTCTTTCCCATTAATGACCAATAATACAAACGGTAATATTCCGACGGTATTTTAATGCTACAATCACATTAGAATCACTTACATGAAATAAAAAGGATAATTTTCTAACGCGATCACACCTCGCAATAATAAATTACAACTGCAATATTCAACCAACACCCAATCATTAAGACGAATCGAGAAACCAGTAATATATTATGATAAATAAAGATTCTTATAGTCTATGTATATATAACATAAGGAAAAACTAAGTACCAAATATTAGAATAAGTATATGTTTTTAACATGAATATTGGGAGCCATTTCACTATTCTCATAAAAAAAATAGTTGATTAGATTACAAAAATCATGAAATAGAAAAGTATTTTTTTAAGTATTGTCATGTGACCGAAAACACCTAGGATTAGCGGAGCCTAAAAATGACGTCACCTGCTTGTAAACATGCTGTTTAAGTGGCATTAATTTGTACTGTTGTTATTGTGTCACGTCACCGGACTGTAAGACGCCATATTTGCTAGAGAAACGTTTCTGAGGTAAATATGAATACATATTTTTTTACTGATATACGTAACAGAATTATAAAGATCCTAACCACTTTTCATAGACTCTATACACAAATACATAACGTATGAATGTTTCCGAAAACCTATCAAATATACAATTGATAATATCGCAATCTAGTTTCTCGATATGATTTCGCACGTTTAAAAAAACACGAATAGATATTTTCTACACTGTCAACCCATCTTCTAATAAGCTTTCTATAAATAGCAGGCTTTAACTTTTCATTTGAACACATATAAGTATGGTATAATCAGTACCTGTTAATACTATAGGTACTGACATTTTATTCAATCAATTCAAACCAACGGTATCTATGTGGAATCTAAATATGCACTGATTTATTTATTTATGGCGTTTCGCATCCCTTTCGGGCTGCGTCGTCAGAATTATAATCATAATTTTGACAATGCAGCCTGAAAAGGTAATCATAATAGGGTATTTGACAACATTAAAAATAAAGTGCCAATTGTTAGCATCTGTGTTTAGAATGAATATTGGCAGGGATTTTCACTATTTTTACATACCTAAAAAATATTCATAATTTTACTAAAAACCCACGAAAAAGATAATAGTTCTCTTATCTATTGTCACGTGACCCAAAACGCTTGGGATTGGCGGAGCCTAAAATGACGTCCCACGCAAGTAAACTTCCGGTTACAGTCGTGTGACGTCTCACACCAGTGTGGCGTCTCACTGGTCTATTGTGAAACGTTATCGCGGCAACTTGAAAATGGAGTTTTTGATTTGGTTATTTTTACTGAAATACACAACAGAATGATGAATATCCACTTTTTACGGACTCCATAAACATTAGTTAATACCGTGAGATCGTTTTATAAAACTTGTCAAATACCCTATTCTGACGACGCAGCCTGAAAAGGTTGCGAAACGTCATAAATAAGTAAATCAGTGTATAGATCCTCTGACCGTTAAAACTTGTTTTATTTAATGCGTGGTGTGCGTAAAACCCTAAGAAACAAATATCAAAATATAATTTCTATTTCGAATGTATACGAAAAAAACTTAAATAAGTACGTAAATAGTAAAATAAATAGAAGATAAGATCTTATAAGTTACAAAATAATATTTAGTTTTTAATTTGCAGATCGGCTAATTGTTTTTTTAAATCTAATAGTATTTTGACTTCGGGCTGCCACACTGTCTTGTCTTTGGTGGACGCTTTCAATTTTCTAACTTTGTCACCCTGCAAAGAAAATACAATACAAGTTAAACTTCCATGATTAAATCCCAATACTAAAAATAAAACTTAATATAATAAAAAAAATGCAAAACTCAACTGCAGCGCCACATATATCAGGTAGAATCTGAAGTTTAGAGTTTTTATTTGTTGCGCTAAATTTCTTAAATGATCTTATATATTCCCGAATAAACCTACTACAAAGTATTTGGGAAAAGTGAAGAAAAACCTAGATTAAATCGGTAAAGACATTCGTACTCAGTTATGGCTGGCGTGAGCAAGAGAAGAAGGAATTAATTTAGAAATATAAAGAAGATAGAATAAATAGAAGAAGAATCGGAGTTTTAATAAAACAACTTCGCACGCCATCTATGAAAGAAAGTGAGAACTTAAATGTCACCTGTTCTGCAACTGCTTTTTCTAGGTCTGCGACGCTTTTCGACGACGCATTCGTTGTGACGTTCGTCTGTGCGTTAGTTTGAGCGGCGGCTAACTGTTTTTTCAATTCCAACAGTCTATCCACTTCCGGTTGCCATATTGATTTGTCTTTTGTGGACGCTTTGAGTTTCCGAAGTTTCTCGCCCTAGGATATAAATTATAATAAGAAAACTGTCTCCATAGACAACCAAATTATATATAAATACATAGTTTGAAACGGTAACTGGACAAAAATTCAAACCGCCTTATTACAAAAAACCTAGACTCAAGATAAACCTAGAATAAAACTGATGCTGCCACTGTTGTTTGTAAAAAAAAATAGTTGTCTGTAAAGTCGTTTTACGTGATAACGTCATAAAGAAAAATTGCTGAAAAATTGCATAATCGCTAGCTGTGACGTCACGCGAGAAGAGAGATAAATGTGTAAAAGCCGACACACTTAGGCCGATCGTGCCTCTCTATCGCTTGTTCCGCGTTCTTGCTTGTACGCTCAAGCACAGGCGGAACGTGACACTTTTTCGTGCGTCCAGCCGGAGTTCATTGATCAATAACACGTTATCACATTAGGCTTAAACTACTTTAGTAACTTTAGTCCAGGTGGAATAAGGGGGTATTGTTTTATTTAAATGATTGGGGTGAATGAGATTATAAGAAAAACCATTTCAGACATAAGTTAAAATTTCATGTAAATCGGTTCAGCAGTTTAAAAGTGAAGTGCTAACTATTATTATAATATTAGTATGGATTGAAATGTCACCAAGAAGGAGCTTGATGTCGCAAGTAGTAAGCGCGTTCGACTGTGATCGTTGAAGCAACTTTCGCAGCGCTCGGTCGTTGGATTGGTGACCAAGAATTTACTATCTCTCCCTCCTCCGTGCTTCGACTGGCACGTTAAGTAGTTGGTCCCGGCTTCATCTGCAGTGGTTAGCACCCACCGGTCCGCACTGGGCCGCGTGGTGGGTCACGGCTAGGGTTACCATTTGTCCGGATTTGTCTTTTTGCCTTTTGTCCGGACTTTGTCTGGCTTTTTTTTAAATGGATGGAATATGAGTAAAATTTCTAATTAAGTTATATCAAATAAGTCAAATAATATTTATTAAGTTCTTATTAATTTAAAACGAAATATAAATTATCATTAAAAACAACAACGAGGCCCCCCTCGCGATGCGAGCTTCTGCTACCACGCGTATAATAGCACTGTAACTAAGTGGGTGATGTTTACATTTTGTGACTAAATATCCGGACTTTTATCGACATGTCCGACTTTTTGTCAGGAATTTTCAAATTTTTAAACAGAACCCTAGTCACGGTTCAATCTTCCTATACCATCCAAAGGGTAGGCCTATGCCCCAGCAGTGGGGACATTAATAGGCTGATGATGAGGAAATATATGCTCACCTGTTCCGCTACACATTTCTCTAAATCAGCAACGCTGTGAGATGACGCATTGCTTTCAGTTTTAACGTTCGATTGGGCGGTAACCAATTGCTTCTTCAATTCCAACAGTCTATCCACTTCCGGTTGCCAAACTGCCTTGTCTTTGGTAGATGCTTTCAGTTTGCGGACTTTGTCACCCTTAAAGTTTATTTATTTATTTAAAAAGCTTAACAACGAAAAACATATGACTTATTACATTAAATAACATTAACAGAAAAATGGGACATGTGCTCTTAAATTTATAGGTATACACAACATTTTTATAATACAAAATTTAAGTTAATAACGTAAGGAAATAATTTCAATAGGCTAGTTGACCCTTTTTGGAAAAAGGTTGTAAATGGTTAATTAATGTTCTAGCAGACCGAAAAAAAATGTATTGTATTTTTTTGAGACCTAGAAAGCTACAAATCTTTAATTTTGAAATAGAATTTTCATGGACATACAAAAACGCTGTCGGCCATTTTAGTCTATGCATTGTCTATGCTATGATGTCAACTGTAGTAAACAAAAACTCGTAAGCACGTAGAAAACAACTTATCTGAGTTTACAATATAAAGAACATGATTTCTAATAAATACCACGAAAAATAAAGTATTTATCATTATTGTATTGTACGAGAATATAAAAACACATCCTTGAAGACTCCAGGAATGTTGTGGATTAAAGTGCCGAAAGAAATTAACCTACGCAACTTTATTACACTTATTCATATGTTGTATCAGTTTTATGTTTATTACTACATTGTAATAATAAATGCACTGTACTTACATAGATGCCTTGTCGTTTCGTTTAGTGCAAAAAATTCACTACCATCAATGCGTCAATTCTTGGCAGCTTTCTGCTTTCACAAAGTCGGCATCCATAATTAATTACTTTTGTCAAAAAAAAAACAGTAAACGATAACGTTTCTAAAGTTAAAAGTGTTTTAAGATAAATTTATTCAGACTAAAGAATCCACCCACAATAACACGTGAATGACATTTAATTGTTTACTGAAAGAGACGTCACAATCATGGCGGATGTGGCGAACAGCGTTTTTAGTGTTTAAAAAATATAGACTAAAAAATTTTTTTTTAAATTAAATGTCTACAGCAATCTTCTGCTTTTATGAAGTGAACTCGATATATTTAGGTTCCTTAGACCAAATACTGTAAGAAATAAACATTTCTTTAATACAATTCGACATGAGTCAACTAGCCTATTAATTATGCAGAATCAAATTATAATATTAATAATTAAAGAATATTAGATAGTTAAGGTATTCATTTGACATTGTGGGTTACCTACAATGCGAAGAGATGGCGCTGCCTTGCAACCTAAGAAATACTAAGTAAATTCGACACGGACGTTAAGGCCGCGGTAGCATAATAGTCAGTGCATCCGCCCGGATAGCGAAGGGTGTGGGTTCAAGACCCGTCTGCTGCCTGTTCCGCGTGGAATTTTTACTAGTACAAATTTCTTTTGTTATGGAAATTATTTATATTTCAGCGCATGATGTTCCCAAACAGGGATAAATAAATCTATGTGAGCTTTCTTTGCGTGCACCGCGCAAACGGTTTAAGTCACACAAAACTCAAGTATGACGAAATTGTTCCCCTTTTAAAAAAGCCGGCCAAGTGCGAGGGTTCCGTACAAACCTGTAGGTATATAAGTTAAAATTCACCGCATTTGATATGAATTTCAATTTAATACTTCGACGCGTTCATGAGAAAAGAAGTAGTAATTTTAAAATTTTATTATATGATGTAACTAAAAATTTACGGTTTTCGCAATTTTTCCTTTCAAGATCTAAGTTCACGGGAAGTACCCTGTAGGTTTTGATTCTCGTGCGAGTTTCGAAACAGCACAAACGGCTGTATCTTTTGATTGCTTTGGCTTAGAAGTTTGATTTTTTCACAACTCCAAGGGACAGTAGACCTGAGTGTGAGATATGAATTTCAGTTTGATACCACCACGCGTTCCTGAGGAAAACGGTCTTGACAGACGGACGGACGGACGGACGGATGGACGGACAACAAAGTGATCCTATAAGGGTTCCGTTTTTTCCTTTTGAGGTACGGAACCCTAAAAATCAAAGAAACAACCGCGACAGCTTAAGTTTTAAGAGAGACCTACTATACCCTTTTTCCTCAAATTAATGCGAGTGAAACCGCAGGGCACAGCTAATATTTTATAATAATTACCTTCGAAAGACTTTTATTGAGCGTTCGGTTATTTCATTGAAAATTGCAAACAAAAAGAGAAAAACCAAAAGGACATAATTTACATAAGAAGGAGATAGAAAGCCTCTCTTGAGTTTGTTTCGCCGGTTCTTCTCAGAAAGGTCTCCCAATTTTGGAACCGGTGGTAGTTTACGGTAGTTAGGGTCAAATAAATAAACTCAAAATTACAAAAAAGAATTTAAATAAAGTACTTTATTAACTAAATTAACTAATAAATTCATAAATAGTTACCTGTTCAGCGATGGCTTTTTCAAGCGCTTCCACGCTTTGAGATCCTTTCGCCACACCATTCTGCAATATAAATATCAATACAGTAGAACGCCGATTATCCGAACGCCGATTAACCGAATCGCCAATTATCCGAATCGGTCCTAAGCGTAATATAAAAAATTAAAACCAAGTCATTTTTGTTTTGTTCTAATAAGTTGGAACTCGCTAAAGTCCAGCGAGTATGTTAAATACCTATATATATTTATATCAACTGTTAATGGTTGAAAGCTAGAGGCAAGACACTACATGTTTTACTGTTCTTAATTTTGTTTTGCTACTATGTACCTCTATTATTGTATCTAGTATTGTAGAACTGTGTTTGTTAAACGTAATAAAGTTTATTCTATGTGTGGCAGTTCGTTTTTCTTTATTACTTGTCTATGTCCGATTATCCGTATTTTCGATTATCCGAATCGACCCCGGTCCCAATTAATTCGGATAATCGGCGTCCTACTGTATATCCAACTTAGCAACAATACGTACTACACTCGGCGTCAAAAAAATCGCACATCCGCGAAATTAACTTACAAGCGTTATTAACCCTTAACACGCGAATGTATCCCCACCAATATTGGTGTCATTGGAAAGAAACTTAAAAAAACATTTCATTTCATTAAAAAACCGGCCAAGTGCGTGTCGGAATCGCGCACCGAGGGTTCAGTACAAACTCAATTTAATACCTCTGCGCGTTCATGAGAAAAGAGTAACTTTAAAATTTTCAAAAATAAATTTACTTTTTTTCGCAATTTTTCCTTTATCTGTACTATAATACGTTACTTCGTACCAAATTTCAAGATTCTAATTTCACGGGAAGTACCCTGTAGGTTTTGATTCCCGTGCGAATTTCGAAAATTTGCGGCATAAACGGCTGTATCTTTTGATTGCTTTGGCTGAGAAGTTTGATATTTTCACAACTCCAAGGGACAGTAGACCTGAGTATTAGATATAAATTTCAATTTGATACCTCCACGCGTTCCTGAGAAAAACGGTCTTGACGGACGGACGGACGGACAACAAAGTGATCTCCTATAAGGATTCCGTTTTTTTCCTTGAGGTAAGGAACCCTAAAAATGTAGCTTACATACAAACTGCCACACCCCCTCCCTCCCTGTTGTCCCCCTTAAAGGGTGACTTCTCGAATAAAAACTATCCTATGTCCTTTCTTGGGACTCAAACTATCTCTGTACCAAATTTCATCTAAATCGGGTCAGCGGCTTAAGCGTGAAGAGATACCAGACAAACAGACACACTTTCGTATTTAAATATTAATATGAATTTATAAGGAGCACGATGGCGCAGGTGGTTAGCGCGTTCTGATGCGATCGTTCAAGTTAGCAACTTTCGCAGTGGTCGATCATTTGATGGGTGATAAAAATCTTCTATCTCGAGTTCCTCCGTACTTCGGAAGGCAGCTTAAGCTCTTGGTCCCGGCTGCATCTGCAGTCGTTAGCACCCGCCAATCCGCACTGGGCCCGCGTGGTGGGCCCAATATCCCTATTCCATCCATAGAGAAGGCCTGTGCCCCAGCAGTGGGGACATTAATAGGCTGATGATGATGATGATGTTGGAGTACTTACCACGTTTGCCCTTTCGTTCTGTGTGCCTGCGTATTTGGCTTTTAACTTTTCTAATACATCTGGCTCCAGTTTAGAGAATAAAGGCTCCGGTTTGCCTATAACGTGCCCATTCGGCAAATACTGTATGAAAGCTGGATTCCTATGGTGAACAATTAAAAATTAAACATAATATTATGCGATTAGGGTTACTATTTAAAATTTTGAAAAGTCCTGAAACTAACAACGAATTAGAAATAGTATGGAATACGAACTGCGCTAAAAAGTGGTTCCAAGCAAACTGCGATCAAGTGGGCGTGGCAAAAAAAATACATCAACACGCCGGTCATGGAATTGGTTAGGATTTCCGTTTAAATTATCTTAACAGATATTTGATTTGTCAAAGATTTTTTTGTCTGTGTGTGTGTTTGACGCGTTAGTGTGAAGTTTAGTTGTATGCGTTTGAAGAACCACGTTTTGACAGCCTTTGTTTGAGAGTAATGCTGCCATGTCATTTCTAAGTCGTTGGAAACTACTAATAAAATAGATTACAGAATAAAAAACTTATTTTTTCATCAAATATACGATAGGGCTTCGGATTTCGTGGATTTATGAAATTCTAAAAATGATGACTATGACACTGTTTAAAGTACAGGTGGCGTTAATGGCTGAAAATTTTTATTGGTTAAAAGTTAAATAAAAATGTCAGATAATACTAATGGTTGATAGTATCAGTTCATATTTTTATTCAATTACTGATAAAGAAATAAATGAAATAATGATTTATTGTCAATATTTTTATTAGTTCGATCTGTGATTGAAATTATTCATTACGATAATTTTATCAGTCAGTTACATTTATCCATACGAATTAATATTACTCTAGAGTTAGAATCAACATGATTTGAATTAATATTTTTATTCGATATGGTTAAAAGGTTTATTGAATATGTTTTTATTATTAGCTTTTTTTAAATGTTTGATAAATATATTGAACAACACTGGTATAAAGTTAATTTAAGTAATAACTTACTCCGGGTTGAGTCTCAGTGTGTTCGCTTCCACATGAAGTTGTTGCCTCAGTCTTCTTGCTGTGTCGGGAATGTATGGGGCCAGTAACGCACAAAGCAATGCTACTAACTGGCAACATAGGCCGATTGCGATCGCTCCGCGTTGCCTGTGTGGAAAAAGATTTATCTTATATATAAAATTCTCGTGTCACAATGTTAGTTACCATACTCCTCCCAAACGGCCTGACCGATTTTTATAAAATTTTATATGCATATTCCGTGGGTCTGAGAATCGGCTACTATCTATTTTTCATATCCTTAAGTGATAATGGTTGTCAACCTGTAAAGTAGCGTTCTGAACGCTACAATGAGCCTTCGCGCCGAAATTTAAACTATTGGGTATTGTAACGTAGTGTTCTCATATGGGTTAGGAAGAATGTTATCCCAGGAAATTGATAGAACACTACGTTACACACCCCTAAAATTTTTTTTGGACTTTTTTTTAATGTGGTATTATATAAAATACATACAACACTAAATTTTCTCTTCTACCACCTACCCCTTTTTATGACGGTACGAAGTTCGCTGGGTCAGCTAGTTATTTATAATATAAACACTTACCCCTTATTAATAAAAGAAGACTACTCATGGATTAGTTACTCCATGTTTTGTCTCTGTCTATTGAATGACAAATGGCATTTGAGTGACATGAACAAAACTCGGCGTAACTAGTCTAAGCTAATTCCTTGTTTATTAATAAGGCGGTTAAACAAGAGGCTGGTTTCGAGTTTGGATAAAGAAATTTTCTGTCTAGAAATACATCTCAAGCCCACTTTCAGCAAATTTGCTAAATCTCAATATAATGAAAACTGGATTTAGCCCACGCAATAATTTTAAATTGACATTGACGTTTTGTTATTTTTCTATGGGTTTAATCTAGTTTTAGTTGAATCGAGATTTAGCAAATTTCTTAGATATTAGGCGGAACGCAAATCTGCATACATCATCTTAGATGTTAGATGTGACTTGAACCATCTTCTTATTTAGTACATTCTGATCCAATACTTGCAGAAAGGTGATATTGAAATGTGTACGAATTTTACTCATAGTATGAATAAATCGATCCATTTTTAAGTAAAATACAAGTTTATTATTTGTAAAGCTCTTATTAGCGCAATTTATTGTTATTTCTAGCTTATTAACAAATAAATTCATCAAAAAAGACTCAAAAACATGAACGATTTTAAACTATTGACCGATTTTTAATGTCTTTAATACTCCTACACTATTATTTTGTTGATAATAAGCAAGTTAAATTAACTATTAAGTAAAATAGAAAGACTGTTGAATAAATTATACATTTCATAACTATAATATAAAATATCAACTGATGAAACTTGCAATTTGCGTAAATGAGTTTATTTTTAATGATGTTAATATAAACTCTTACTAACTAACTCTGAGATAGGAATAGGTTAATGAGGCCATGAGAACCAAAGTAGCCTAACTCATTTTTTAACCATGGTGGCCTATCTTACTTAGCCCAGGATGGCACCTCAAATTTAGATCATAGACTAAAAACCGTAACAGTGATTATACTGCCATCTAGTGACTATTCGTTCTATCACTTTTAGACCACTCTGGTTCTATCAAAATGATCAATTTGAACTGGAAAAAATCATAAACTCAATATTGTAAAAAAAACAGTAAGGCCACTATGGTTCTCATGGTCTCATATGTGGTGCACCCATTGCTCTGACACTCCATTACTACTCACTTATCATCATCTGATCCCTTGAGAAGCACCCACGGTTGTTCCGACTGCATATGTTGATTTCCAATTCTGGATATCGAGAGCACATGTTTTAGGGCGTCGCGTAAACGACCCTTCTCCATATTCTGGACGTAACCTGGGTAAAATAATATGTAATTTCAGTTGGCAACACTGAAAATGTGGAGGTTAGAGAGAAGAACGACCCATGGAGGTTAGAGAGAAGAAGAACGATCGCTACGATTTATAACTGTTTCTTAGATTTTCTAATAAATTATTATTAGCTAATAAATTCATACATCTTTATATATATAATTCTTCTGTGAGTGTGTATGTCACTGAACTTCTCTTAAACGACTGGGCCGATTTTGATGAAATTTTTTGTGTGTGTTCAAGGGGATCTGAGAATGGTTTAGATTCACAAAGACGTGTAGACAGGACAACGTCTATCGGGTCCGCTAGTAGACAATAAAGTTTTAAAAATCTTTCAATGAAATATCCGAACGCTCAATAAAAGTCTTTCGAAGGTAGCTCGAAAAACTAAATAAAAAATCATTATTCCGAAGACGCATTCCTACAAACATCAATAAATAAATAAAATCAGTGCATCTAACCGGTTGAAACTTTAGTTATTGAATTATTTATGTTATTAAGCTGCACTTGCAGCAGTTTTGCTAAATCTCGATTTAAGTAAAACTAGATTAGCCCATACAAGAATGTCAAATCGACATCATGATGTTTTGCCATTATGTAGTATTAGTGTGGGTTACAGCTTGTAAAATGGAGATTTAGCATTGCTTCAAGTGGGCTTAAACAAATAAATTAACTTACCTATCACCTCCCTGTTGACTAAAGCGATCAGCTCGTAATCTGAAGGGCCTGGGTTCACATCGGGTACTTTTCCTTTAAAATTGTTCGCGCAGAAACTCAACGAGCGATGGCAGAAGTTGCCCAGGTTGTTGAGGAGTTCAGAATTGTTCCTGTTGAAGTTATACTTCTTTAGCCGCGTTATGAAAAAATTATGAGAGTGAAAATTTAAGATGCGCGCGCATCACTGTAACACAAAAGTAACATAATGAAGTTAGCCGCGGGCCCGTTATGAAAAAATGATGAGAGTGAAATTTTAAGATGCGCGCGCAACACTGTAACAGAAAATAACATGAAGTCGGCCGCTAAACCGCACATTACTCGAAAAGTCTCGAAAAAAAGCTTCCAACAAAATAGTAATAGGATCTCTTAGTCGCACATGTTGGGACGCTCGTCGCCTCTGATCACTGTTTTCATATTTATAATATTTATCCACATGTTTCTAGTTTCTATCTTCTAGTGATTTAAATTGAATATTTTGATTATTTATTAAATTTTTCAAATTAAAACTGAACTTTATTGACTGCGTTGACTATCCTTTTCCAATCCTTTTATTATCTTATTGTAATTAATTATCTGCATGCAATTAAAACTATTTTTTTATAATTCCAAAAAGAAGTATAACTTCTCACGCGCGTACTTAAGTACACGCACCCATATTTCTTTTTAATATGAAACTTCCAATTAAGATCAATTTTTGACCAAATAACAAAACAAATTGTGGGGCTAGTCCCATATGCACGGTTTCCTGATCAGCAATTCCGATTCGAAAACCTAATTACACTGAGTATAACACTAACACTATTCTTATTTCTTCAGAATGGAAAAAACCTAGCGTTCGGTTCGGAAACTCACGGAATTCCAAATCTGAATACCTGATCAGGAAACCGAATCAGGAAACCGTAAATATGCGACCAGCTTAATAGGCTATTTGACAATATGAAAAATAAAGTACCAATTATTGGCATGTGTATTTAATATGAATATTGGGAGCAATTTCAGTATTCTAACAAAAAAGTTAATAGAGTTTTTATGATCTACTGGCACTTGACCGAAAACGCCTAGGATTGGCGAAGCCTGCAATGTCGTCACCTGCTTGTAAACATGCTGTCGAAGTGACATTACTTGGTACTGTTTGATGTTTTAATGACAGCCATGTGTAAGACAGGAAGCCTGTAATACGCCATATTGGCTAGAGAAACGTTTCTGCTGCATATTTGATACATATTTTTTTTTAAATCATATATACAACAGGAATTATAATTAGGGAAGGCCTGTGCCCCAGCAGTGGGGACATTAATAGGCTGATGATGATGATGATTATAAAATATAACTTTACCTAGTACCGAGCTCCGCCCAACTGAAGCTTGAATCTGAAGTTTCAGGTCTTATCGATGCCAAATAAAATCGCCATACGTCTGAAGGAATGCCCGTATCCTGTCATGAAAAATATATAAAAAACCATCAACGTAATACGGTGTTCCTTAAATTTTTAGTACTTAGTCCATTCACAAAATTTACCATACATTTTTTCACGGTAGCACCGTGGTTAAAGCATCTCGATCAGCGGAAGGCACTGGTTCGAATCCTGGCTGACACCTTGATGGAGGCACTTCACTTGGGTATTCGTGTTTGCTACTTGTAAACTTGCCATAAGTCTGTCCTTTTCTTTCCTTATAAAAAGCATGATAACGGCAGACTGATGTCAAGTTCGATGGTGCAGGTGGTTATCGCATTCGGCTGCGATCGTTGAAGTTAAGCAACTTTCGCAGTGGTCGGTCATTGGATGGGTGACCAAAAATTTACTATCTCGAGCTCCTCCGTGCTTCGGAAGGCACGTTAAGCCGTTGGTTCCGGCTGCATCTGCAGTCGTTAGCACCCACCAATCCGCCCGCGTGGTGAGTCATGACCCAATCACCTTATTCCATCCATAGGGAAGGCCTGTGCCCCAGCAGTGGGGACATTAATAGGCTGATGATGATGTCAAGTTTACAAATAACAAATACGAATAGCCAAGCGAAGTGCCGGGATGACAGAGTTAAATAGGTAAGTGAGTATGCTAAGTAGTATAAGATTTCTAAGTATTAACTTTTATAATACCTGTGCATCTGTACCGAATACACCAACGCCTCGTGATTTAGAGAATTTGCCTTCTTCATAGTTCAGGTACTCTGTAAGAATCACAAAATAATAATAAAAATCTTAATAAATGAAGAAAGGAACAAGTAGTATCAATACAAATATTATAAACTAGCGGCCGCCCGCGACTTCGTACGCGTGGAGTTAGTTATTTGCACATACTTTTTGACCCCAAAAGGGGTTTTATTTCTAAAGATACTTTATTAGTACACCTCTACACCATCTATAGAGCATACATGTTAAATTTCAAGTCCCTTACTTCAATAACATAGGATTTTCATACAAACTTCCAACCCCCGCATTACCCCCTTAGGGATGGAGTTTCGTAAAATTATGTAGTCTATATGTTGACCCGACTTCTTAATAATATTCGTGCCAAATTTGAAGTAAATCCATGCAGTACTTTTTGAGTTTATCACAGACATACATGCAGACAAACAGACAAAAAACTATATTTTTGGCTACGGTATCGATTGCAGATCACACCACAAGTATTCTTTTAAAAAATATTCAATGTACAGTTTTGACTTTCCTACCATTTTATTACATGTATAGATACGAAAGTGCGTCTGTTTGTCCTTCTGCCTGTACGTGTGAACCTCTTCACGCTCCACAGGGTAGGGGATTGGGTCAGGGTAATCAACGGCGCGAGTAATATTTTCAGTATCTTAAACTTCTATAGGCTATGGTGCCGCTTACCATCAGGCGGGCCATATGCTTGTTTGCCACCCCTTTTATCATAAAAAAAGACTCGAGGTAGACAAAATTTGGTACAGAGATAGTTTGAGCCCCGGGAAAGGACATAACAAATGAGGAGCTGGCGAACAAAACGGTATAATTACGCATCTTGTCAAATTACTTTTTCTTACAGTCCGGAGGTTTCGGGCCCATTGAATTTGAATCTCGAATTATTTTCTTATCAAAACCTCCTAAAACAGTGTTAAAATTACTAAATTTATAAATTACAAACCATGCCAAAAGCTCACTGGAGATATGTCATTCAGCTTTATACAGCTCCTGTAAATTTTAATTTTATGTAATAGGGTATTTGACAAGTTTTAGAAAACGATATCACTTTATTGACTTATGTTTATGGAGTCCGTAAAAAGTGGACATTCATCATTCTGTTGTGTATTTCAGTAAAAATAACCATGTCAAAAACTCCATTTTCAAGTTGCCGTGAAAACGTTTCTCAGGACAATATGGCCTCTTACTAGTGTACAATATACAAGATACAATGTAATGTCATTTTAACCAGAAGTGTGACGTCATTTTAGGCTCCGCCAATCCCAAGCGTTTTGGGACACGTGACAATAGATAAGAAAACTATTAACTTTTTCGTCGGTTTTTAGTAAAATTATGAATATTTTTTGTAAGAATAGTAAAAACCCCTACCAATCTTCATTTTAAACACAGATGCTAACAATTGGCACTTTATTTTTAATACTGTCAAATACCTTATTATACCGTTTTGTTTGCCAGCTCCTCAAATATTAGTTTTATCCCATAAATAAACCTTAAAGGGGGTAGAAGTTTGTATGGGAATCAAATTATTCCACGCAGACCAAGTCGCGGGTGCGAGTGTATAAATAAATGGACTTACCAGTAGCAAAAAGGTAGTTGACCAGTAAATGGCCTTCGTTGATGCCGATGAGAGTAGCCGGAAACATTATAGTGTGGAATGGAACGTTGTCTTTGGCCATAAACTGGTATAGCTTCACCTACAAAAATAGTAATCTATGCTTCTGTGTATAAATAACGACGAATATTGTTATCATGAATGTGATAACAATATCACATGAGAGTTTTAATACCTAATTACAGGCAGTCCCCGACTTAAGTCGTTTCGATTTACGTCGCTTCAAGTTACGTCAAACAATGTTTTGACACTATTCCTCAAACATACGTCAATTGTTTCGATTTCCGGGATAGGGGAATTCACTTGTCGCGTGGACAATATCTTTGGGGCCGGCTTCCGTGGTGATGTCTCGACTTACGTCGGTTTGATTTATGTCACGTATTTCGAGAACCTAACATGCCGTAAGTACGAGGACTGCCTGTATAAGAGTTGCATACAAGACTTTATCTACACCCGTTTTATGTAAAAATCTGATACCATGGGGCGTTCTGAGAACTTTAAATTCATGAAAAGTTTCGGCGCTGTGGTAGTGAAGCGCGCGTGAATGACAATGTTCTTTTTGTTAATCGTAATACTACGCATCGAGCAGAAAAAATTGTGGCTGTCTGATGAGCAAGCCGTTGGCGCGGAAGGGATACAAAAACCAAAAGAGTGTTTTGATGAAATTCATTAAAAAAACATAACACCCAAACGGGTGTCATATTGCTTTTTTCTAATTATGAAATTGGTGTCGATTCTGGCATGATTCTCTTAACTCAAAACTAAATTTAACATCAATCTCTCCTTTTCATTCTGTATAGAGAATGACAAGGATGCACTGTTGTCAAATTTAAGTTTAGTTTTAGAGAATCATACCAGAATCGACACCATTACATGTTTTAATGCTACCAAGTTTGAAGTCGGTTAAAAAGTGCACTCACTTCACAGTCCTTGTCCGGCCTCCACCATTTCTCGTATTGTTTGGTGGCGTTTTGTGTTATACTCAGATATCCTATCGGTGCGTCGAACCAAACGTAGAATACCTAAAGAAAATAAATATGGTTATAAAACATTAGAAAGTTGACTCCGTATTTGCTTTGCATATTTATACACTATTGTTATATATACAGTGTTGGCTGTATAATTAGAAACACTACCAAAGGTAATAGACATTATGTAAGATATTTCACCGAAATCGTTTTTATTTTGAAATTAAGCAATTAATTGGAAAAAATATCTTTTTATTACCCCAAAATTATTTTATATAATTTTGCTACAGATCGTTGAAACTTATACAACTTAGTGGGCCGATAGATGTGTCCGGAAGTGTATTTCAGCCGCTTAAATTATATGTTTTTAGAACAATATTTATAGAATTTCGTACATTTTAGTACCTAGAAATATTACTTAGTTTAATAACATTATCCGTGTTCGAATCCCGGTGGGGGCAGATGTTTGTGTTATGAATACGAGCGTTTGTACTCCAGTCATGTATGTTTAATATGTATTTTCTATATAAATATACTTATATATGTATCAGTATATGTATTCTACCCGTTACCCCAGTATCCCATAGCACGCAAGCCTACAGTACTTACTTTGGGGCTAGGCTAATTGGTGTGAATGTTGGAAATATTTTTTATCACACTTATATTATAAAGGCGAAAGTTTGTGAGTGTGTGAGTGTGTATGTTTGTTACTCCTTCATGTCTAAACGGCTGGAGCGATTTTAATAAAATTTGGTACGGAGTTAGCTGAGACCCTGGATTAACACACAGGCTACGTTTTACTGCGGCAAAACAGGGCAATAAGTCCCTGGGAAATTCGATGAATTTATTTTCCCTAATAAACTGCGGGTAACACCGCGGGGAACAGCTAGTTTATTATAATTACCTTATGGGCGTAGTTCTGTAAAGGCACCGGCACTCCCCACCTGAGGTCTCTGGTTAAAGCACGCGGTCTCAAAGGTTCCCGTAACCAAGCTCGACAGACGCCCCGAGCGGCCGGCGACCAGTTGTTGGAATTACTGCTTATCCAAGAACGGATGGATGGCTCCAACTGACATTATTGGACGCAAAAAAAAACGTACATCAAGAAACTATACTCTATTCAACTTCCGCTGAGAGAAAAGATAAAGAAACCTTAAGAAAGTTTTTGAATAGGTCTAATCTTAAACGCATACAAAATCATAATTTAGAAAACAGCGACTTTAAAAATACCTAAAATTCTAACTATTCCCAAACATTGAATGTATTTAGAATTGTAGTAAAGCAAACAATTTATGTTAAAATGTGAAATTTTGTAATCAGTCTGGTAACACCGGATTATGTTTACTCCCGATAAAAAAGTTTTAGAAACACTGGTTTATTTGTTTACCTTTTTGTCTCAGAGGATGTTGAATAGAGTATACAAACTATAAATGTTTTCACACGTTTCATTTCATGTTATAAGTGCAATCACTAGATGGCGCTGTACACGTAAAACAGAATTTCGCTATAGATAAATAAATGAGGGTGAATGTAGGATACATTCTCGAAACCAAGCTCGACAGACGCCCCGAGCAGCCGGCGACCAGTTGTAAGTCACTCCAACTGACATAAAAAAAAGTAATTAAAAAAACTACAAGCGTATTCGCGTATTTCATTTAACCTTCCCGACATGATCACTTGATGGCTTTGTACACACGCAATACAGAGTCACGCTATACATAGAGAACAAAATAGAACCGACTTCAAAACGAATTAGTTCCTTAACACATTTGTTTTTTTTATGTATTTACACCGTTAATACAAAGATTTCTGATCCGATTAGCGGGATTCCTTTTTGTCCGATCCGGAATTGTTACCAGTTTTAGCCTTAAATAAGCCTAAAATTTTATAGACAATCCGCTCACCTGGTTCAACTGTATGAACAGCTGTTCGCTGGGCTTCACTGTGGGTTTATGGCCGCACACTTTACACCGCGGCTCTATCAGCTCTATGGCGTTTATGAGTTTCCCACAACGATCGCATTGGTCGCCGCGTGCGTTGTCATAAAGACAACCGGGGTGGGGACATGTGCCTTCTACAAACCTACGGGAGATAGGGAGAAACGTAACAAAGAAGAACTACAATTTATGCCCAATTTTGTACTTACAAAACACACGCACAAATTATCTCAAATTAAACAAAAAATAAAACCGACTTCAAAATCGAAAATGGAACTAAAAAGTAAAAAATAATATCTGGTTTATGATTTGGAAGTCAGGGGGTCAAGATTGAAAGACGTATTAGTATTAGTAATATTACCGATCAGAAAGGAAAATCTTTTTAATGTTTCAATATTGACCCCGCCCGACTTCCAATTCATGCACCAGATATTACTTATTACTTTTTAGTTCCGTTTTCGATTTTAAAAGTCGATTTTATTTTTTGTTTACATTTTTTTTATTTCTTTTATTTTAGTGAGAATTACATCGTCCAAGTAAAGTTTTTTAAGTCGGTTAAAAAAAGCGGGTGCGTCTCGGGACGCACGACAGAAGTTAAACTAATCTAAGCGGAACTGCGGGTTACAGTGAGAGGAGGAGTCTTCCTAACGCTGCCCTATGCTCGAAAGGAAGGGAAGCCAGACAGACTGACGCCATAACGCGTTACGTAACGAAACGGTTTATCATCCCATAAGAAGTTATCACTTCAAAAAACATTAGAAATTTTCCTTAAAAAGAACTCTGTATCGTGATCGTATCCCTATTTACTTCGCATCCAGCATATCGACATTTTCATTCCCAAGACGATTAATTTGGCAATTATTCATGGAAGAAAATAATGGTTAAGTACGTACACTAAATATACAAGCCGCCTACTTACTACGTCTGATAAATTGAAAAGATGCACATTTACCATAATATTTTAAGTATGTTGCCATGAATTTAAATGTTTGAATTATATTTTAGTTAATAAACTCCATTTATATTTTTGATAAATATGGCGTATTTTTCTACACATCTATGCACAATAATACTTGTGATACAAAATTGGGCAGTTGTATGGAGAAAAAAATTTGGTGTCTTTAGTTAAAAAGAAAGCTTTAATTTTAATAATTGAAAATAAATCACGACTGCCTATTTGTTTTTTTTACTCAATCAATCAATCAATCAATCAAAATCATTTATTCAGTTTAGGCTGTTACAAGCACATATGAATGTCTAGAAGCTACGCCATCGGTTCGTAAATCTACGGCGGGAGACCTTGTACTGAGAAGAACCGGCAAGAAACTCAGCAAGGGCTGTTTTTTTCTCCCTGTTTTATTATTTACAGAGTCGTCAAATTGAAAAATGACTTCAGAGGTGATTCATGAAGTCACTTTTCATTACATAATTATTAAATATACATTAATTGTTTACCTGCATTTTGATTGCTGTGTCATACAGTATAAATACAAATAGTGTTATTTATATTCAGTGTGACTAAACATTAACTTCAATATTATGGAAGTTAGGGCAGACTCATCTCCGCTGGCAGCACCCGTTCACGAGCATGACGCATGAACCAGCCATCGCTTCGCTCAACCATATTTTAGGGAACGTAACGACCCGCCTCACACGACACCGCCGAAGAGACTATTATGAGAGCATGACTACCCATAACTACCCATACTAACTACAACATATTTACTTAAATTAAGGTCATTTACCTGTAAGACACAACAAACAATTACAAAACAAAGCAAAGGAGAAATCACGACCACGCCGTTTTGTCAATCAAATATTCTTAAACAGTCTGATAATCTTACTTAAGTTATCAACTTTATATACAGCTTTCAGTTTAATTATAATATTGTCAACACATAATTCATAATTTAAATCATATAGAAATACCCGTTGGAATGGTTGGAACAGTTCATACCCAAGCATTTTTGTCTGTAATATAATCAGACACTTTATAATATGCTTTCTTAACTAGTGATTTTTAATGGTCGATTTAAATTTAGTCATGCTTCACTCTTGAATATTGCTTGGAACTTTATTGTAAAAGCGAACACTAAGACCTCTAAACGAATTATTGATTTTGTGGAGCCTAGTAGCAGGTAAAGTTAAGTTATTTTTATTTCTAGTATTATATGTATGTATTTCACTATTTTTAGTAAACAAATTAATATTTTTTTTTACAAATACTAAGCTGTCATATATGTATTGTGATGCAACTGTCAATATACCTATTTCTTTAAACTTATCTCTTAATGAATCCTTAACTTTAAGATTATAAATTGATCGAATAGCCCTCTTCTGCAGCACAAATATAGTTTGAATGTCGGCGGCATTTCCCCACAGTAAAATACCGTAAGACATTACACTATGAAAATAACTAAAGTAGACTAATCTGGCAGTTTCTATATCCGTTAACTGCCGTATTTTCATTACAGCAAATGCTGCAGAACTAAGTCTCTTCGACAATCCATCAATATGTGGGCCCCACTGCAGCTTAGAATCTAGTGTGATTCCTAAGAACACTGTGGTATCTACAGAGCTCATATGTCGATCCTTTATATTTACATTAGTTTTTACCTGTTTCACATTAGGTAATACAAATTTCAAACACTTAGTTTTCCCTTCATTTAGCATCAAATTATTAACATTGAACCAGTGGACTACCTTCGAAATAGACCTGTTCACGTCATCAATTTGTGACTCCCTACGTTTAATTTTAAACAAAAGTGAAGTGTCATCCGCAAACAATACTATTTCGTGGTTATCCTTTACAAAATAGGGCAAGTCATTGATATAAATTAAAAATAAGAAAGGACCAAGGATTGAGCCCTGCGGAACTCCCATCTTAACCGACGAACCAGGAGATTTTACTCCATTGATGTCAACCCTCTGAACCCTATCACTCAAATAAGATACAATAAGATCCAGAGTGGTATCTCTAAATCCGTAGTGGTGAAGTTTCCTGATCAATGTTTCATGAAAAACGCAATCAAAAGCCTTTGATAAGTCACAAAATACACCTAATGCATCTTGCGAGTTCTCCCAGGCATCAAAAATTTGCTGTACAAGCTCAACACCGGCATCGGTTGTTGAGCGACCCCTTGTGAAACCAAATTGTTTACTATGAAGAATGTTATTACTATAAAAATATGATTGCATTTGATCTACCATAATTTTTTCAAAAATCTTACTAAAGGTGGGTAACACGGATATAGGTCTAAAGTTTGTGGGGTCAGATGTGCTACCCGATTTATGTAATGGAGTTATTTTACTGAGTTTCATTAGATCAGGAAAAACACCACAGTCAACACATTGATTAAAAAATGGTTGCCTGTAAAGTCGGTTTTACGGGCGAAGATTTTACGTGACAACGTCTTTTTCTCGGTAGAATATTTATTGATATGAATATAATTAAATTGCACAATAGGAACAAGGAATTGAATGAAAATAAGAATTGCACAAATTTTAACTATAGAAATATATATAATACGTCAAAAAAACATATTACAATGCATTGTGCTTGTGAATACCATCGTAGCATGCAACCACGCTACGACGATTCGTAGCAAACTTGCTACACGGCTACGGGGTTCCAGCATGCTACGAGACTCATCGTAACGTTACCGAGCGTTACACTTTTTCATAAGTGACTCCCAGCCGCAACCTAATTTAAGACGTTGTCACGTCAAAAATGCTAGCCAAAATAGGAGCTATTGTCTCAATTACTGATCCAGAAACATCCACGGAGTTACCCCACAGATCCGCAGTTTTCTTTTTATTTAATTGGTTGAAATATTTTATTACATCTTTACAGTTAACATACTTAAATTTAAATTGACTAGTATATTGTTTTGTGTGTTCTTTTAATATTGATTCAGCAGCAATGGGGGACGAGTTCAAAGATTTTGTAGTTGAAACTGGAATATCAGTGAAAAAGTTCTCAAATGCTGTAGCAACTTCAACATCTGATGTAACATTTCTATGTTCAATGTTTAAATTAAAACTAGTATTTCGAGTTTTAGATTTTCCAGTTTCATTGTTTATAATGTTCCAAGTCATTTTGATTTTGTCATTACTATTCTTAATCTTACTACTTAAATAATTTGATTTTGCTGTACGACATACTTTTTTAAATAACTTTGAATAATTACGTACGTACTCTTTGAAACTTTCACTAGTATTAATGCTGCGTTCATTGTAAAGTTCATAAAGTTTCCTTCTACTTTTATGTATGCCTGGGGTGGCCCACTCGCTGAAAGTTACTGCATCACTAACACATATGGTTTTGGGAACAAAGACATCATTAAATTCTTTACAAAAATTATTAAAAAAATCATTATACATATCATTTGGACTACTTTTATACTTTAAATAACTCAAACTCCTATCTAATTGAATTTTAAAACGCTCTATACGGTTAACAGATTTTGGCACAATAGTAATATATTTCTTGGTGATATTTTTATTTGGATGTGGAAAAGTAATCATCTGGCCACAATGATCACTATCCAGTTGATTAACAATTACTTTTGAATGTGGTATTATATCCGTATAAATATTGTCAATACAAGTGGCCGAAGTGGCAGTTATTCTAGTAGGCTCCATGAACAAGTTTTCAAGATTATATGATTGAAATAGATTTCTTAATTTAATACTCAAATTAGAGGTTTCTAATAGATTAATATTACAGTCACCACAAACAATTAATCGTTTACCAGTGTTGACATTTTTTTCTAAAGCTTCATCCATAATAGTTTCAAAACAATTATACAATGCTGAAGGAGGTCTGTATACACTCAATACAACAAGCTGGTCCAGTTCCACACAGGCAATCTCTATTGTTCGCTCAACCGAGAGGCTCACAATATCTTTACGTTCCTTAAATTTAAGTGCCTTATTTAATAAAATTAAAGAGCCACCGCGAATCGCATCTTCTCGACTGAACGAACTACCAACCTGATGATTATTAAAATTAAAGATGAATTGATGACTTTTAAGCCAATGCTCTGTGATACAAAATATATCTATATTGTTACAATTCAAAAATAATTCAATTTCTAAGTCCTTACCCATCATTCCTTGAATATTTATATGATGGTTGATCAAGTTTACATTTTCTTTTAATTGTTTGGGATTTTTCTTAATTAAATTAATATTTTTATGCAAGTTATTACAATAATTATTTATTATTAAGCAAGACGAGTTGTCTGTTATCTCATTATTTAATTTAAACAATAGTTATTATTTTGTAATTTGTCAGTAGAAGAATTACTGACTGTCAAGTCAATGGAACATTGCTCAATAAAAGCAATTTGTTTAGCCAAGTTTTTGGCTGTTATATAAAAATAATATGATAGCGACTTAGCTATCTGTCTTTTATAATAATTAGAAAGATAATATTTATCTTTGGTCAAATATAAATTTCTAACATAATTGTTAGTGTCAATAATATGAAATTTTTCACTTTTACACATTGTGAACTTAAGCATATTTAATTTATATCTTAAGATATTTTCCTCCTTTGGCAGACTTCTACAATAGGGCAATGTAAACAATATAATTTTTTCAACATTTAATGAGCTCAGGTCATTGACATATTGAATCAATGATTTTTTGTTCAAATTGCCTCTATTTCCCACAAAAAATAACAAAGTAGTGCATTTACTATAATTCTGTTTGATTGCATTTCCTAAGATATCCTTATAAGAAACATTAGGCATACAGTGATTGATAATTGAATTTCCCATTTTAGATAAAAGAGGGCCCATGCCCTTGCCAATTTCATCACTAAATAATATGATTTTTTTATATTTATTATCTAAAACTAAGTTGTCCGAGTGAATTGTTTTCACTGAAGTCAAGCATTCCTTTGATGGCTGCTGTGGGGAACTAATAGTTACATGTTGTGATATGGAGGAATCACAATTGACAGGTGACTGAGCTGTTAACTGTTTACAATCACATGTGTGATTGTTAGTTAAAGAATTAAATCTGTCATTGTTGTAATTACATAATTCAACCAACTCATTCAGTGCCTTCATGTGTTCCTTTATTTCTTTTTGTGACAGTTCATATTTTTTTGTAACATTTATAAGACACTCTTGTAATTGTTCAATTTTACTTTGTAATGTTTGTGTGTCTTTTTTATATCTTAGGCTAATGTTGTCATATTTTATTGAATATATATCCAATTTATCAATTAATTGCAATCTTTCCTTGTTTAATTTTACATTTTTTATAAAGAACTTTTGTTTTTTTACAAGTTTTTGAGTTTTTTTAATGTATTTATTAATTTTTATGTACTTCTTTAATTTATTTCCTTTACATCCAATAACCCCCAGTGTATTCTTACTGTTTTTAGTATCATCATGTGTGAGGTCTATGGTGACAGTGGGCTGGTTATTAATTGTAGCAGAAACCATGTCCGGGGCACAAACCACCAGCTCATCGAAAAGGCTCTGATTCAATGAGGCTGTTATGTTTTGTTTTGATGCTTCTAGGAGTGAAATTGTGTGATTGGCATCTTGTAATTGTGTTTCTAAAATATGAATTCGCTGCAAAGTTTGATCATACTCATTTCTGCACTGATCAAAGCCATCCACGATGCACTGCAGCCTGTCCCGAGCATCAATGGCATCACTATACTGTTTGTGTAGCTCAGCCATTTCACTCTTTAACTTTTGATTTTTACTTAAAATGTCTAATAATTCCCTTTCATTGTCATCCCGTTCCCTGTTGAGTTGATCACACAATTCCTTGGATGACTTAAGTTCTCTTAAAGTCAGCTGGAGTTTGGATTCCTCCTGACGAGATAAAGCCTTACGTGTCATCATGTTTCAACGAAATTAATAAGTATAAAAGTACGAAATTGAAATAACAGGAATTGTCTAACCAAACAGAGCAAGGTTATGTGCGTAATTATTTTGTAAAGTAAGGCAGTATTTTACTATTTTATCCAACACTAATATAAGCACAGTAATAATTAAGTAGTTTTTAATAAAACTTGTTACACTTACTGCGTATAAAGAGAGAAATTTCTTGAAAACAGATGACAATGACTTAAAAAAAAAAGCCGGTATTATTCACAGTTGTTTTACACTTTTATGCGTTATTCACACTGGTATTTTTATAAAACACTTAATATTTAATGTTTACTTAACGATGTATTGGTTTAGAACCTTAAATTAACAAGATTATTGTAAATTAACTTGAAAAATATAGGGACAATTCAAAATCAGCTGTTTGCGACAGTGTTGCCAGAGGAGGAAAAAAAATGAACAAAGATAAAATCAGTCAGGCAAACGCTTAAAAAATTAAATTCATGCAGTATTGAACCCATGACAAACGCTTAAAAATTTAAATTCATGCAGTAATGAACCCACTTACCTATCTGCAAGGAATCGATCGCATTTTTCGCAGAGCAACTGGTCCACAGATTGGGGCAAAATGAATCCGTTGTCCTTTAGTTTCAAGAACATCTTCTGCGCTATTCTTTAAACAAAACATATATGCCATTAAAAAAGTTTTGATCAGTAATTCCTAGTAATTGTATAATTATGTCCGTATTTAATTATATACAGATACAGAATCGATATAACCATCACTCTAAAAATAGAAATAAAAAGAATGTTCTCGGATCGAATTTATGGAGAGTTTGGTTGTTGATATTTATTAGGATGGCGATGATACAGATATTGATGTCGATTCTGGCATGATTCTCAAAACTAAATTTAACATCAGTCTCGTCTTTTCATTCTGTATAGGGAATGACAAGGATACACTGTTGTCAAATTTAAGTTTAGGTTTAGAGAATCATACCAGAATCAACACCACTGTAGTAAAAATATTTTTTTTGTATTTCCAATACATTATTATACAAAATTATTTTGCTCTATGCACTCTTTCTCTATACAAACTTTTAAAGCAAAATGTCACTCTTTAATAAGCAGAATATGTTTAATAACAGGGGTGCGAAAGTTTTTCCTTGTCTCTCTATCTGTACATCTTCACGCTTAAGTAGCGGAACCGATTTAGATGAAACATGGTAAAAAGAAAGTTTGTAGTCCCGGGAAAGGACATAATATAATAGTTTTTATTCCAGAATTCCTCTTTTAAGGGGGTGAAAGGGTGTTAGTTAATATTTATTTAATATCAATCTAATAAACTTTAATTATTTATGTAACTCAAAAACATACTATTATATCTATATGGAGGAGCTCCATGGCGCAAGTGGTTAGCGCGTTCGGCTGCGACCTTTGAAGTTTGGTAACTATCGCAGAGGTCGGTCATTGGATGGGTGACCAAAAATTTACTATCTCGAGCTCCTCCGTGCTTCGGAAGGCACGTTAAGCCGTTGGTCCCGGCTGCATCTGCAGTCGTTAGCACCCACCAATCTACACTGGGCCCGCGTGGTGAGTCATGGCCCAATCTCCCTATTCCATCCATAGGGAAGGCGCGTACCCCAGCAGTGGGGACATTAATATGCTGATGATGATATCTATATGTATTTTAATACCATTTAATGATTTATACTTTGTACTAGCGCTGCTATGGTGGGAATATTCCCTTCAGATTTCGAACTTATTTTATTGTTTTTTTTAATTATGTACTTATGTGCAAGGCCAACAAATGCTTTTTCCTTCTTTCTCTATTTCAAAACCATTTTTTTCTAGCAGACGTAGTTGCGCATATCGGCTAGTACAAAAAATAAAGTTTCACTTTAAATATTAGCTTTATGCACTTTTTCTCTATTATAAACTTGTAAAATGCATAATTTCTCACTTCTACGTGAATGTAGTGTAGTTTTTTTTTTCACATTACAATACATAAATATATTTATAGGTACATATATATTTTAAGCATTTAACTGATAGATGTATAAATCTAAAGAAAATTTTACTAGAAAAAAACCACGCGGACCAGCCAGCAGACGGGACTCGAACCCGCACCCTTCGCTATACGAGCGAATGCACTGACCATTATGCTACCACGGCCCTGATAGCCGCGTCGAATTTAATATACAAGCAGTCCTCGACTTACGTCGTTTCAAGTTACGTCGAACAATGTTTTGACAATATTCCTCAATCATATGTCAATTGTTTCGATTTCCGGCATAGGAGAATTCACTTGTCGCGAGGTCAATGTCCGTGGGGTCAGCGTTCGTGGGGATGTCTCGACTTACGTCGTTTCGCTTTACGTCGCGTATTTCGAGAACCTAACATGCCGTAAGTACGAGGACTGCCTGTATATAAATATAATGTTAGTAAAAAAACTCACTCGGTCTGTTCGTTGGTACTGGTCCGTCCGAAGTAATCGAAGCCGATGTTAAACCAGCGATACACTGCGTTGTGTATTTCGAAGTATTTGTCGCAGATCTGTCGGGGAGTAAGGCCTTCCTCTATGGCCTGAGAAAAAAAATTTAGAAAACTTAGTCACTCACTCGTCACAGTCATCACTGCTAGTCTTATTTCATACAGTGTCGTCAATCGAAAGATGATATCGAAACTTGAAAACAACAGAGGTACAAAGTAGGAAGCTTCTTTTGTCAAAACGTCAATAAATAAATAAGGTTTCGTGCATTAACCCGTAAAAACTAGTTTTATTTATCTCTTGCAGGTTTTCGAAATTACCTTGGTTTCTGTAGCAGTGCCATATTCGTCAGTGCCGCAAATATACAGGGTGTTGTAATCACACAACCTGCAATACCTACAACAAGGGATGGAAATATAACAATAATCAGAACTAAACTGTAAATATTAAAATTATTATTAAGATAAAATAAAAAGTCTTTATTGCACAACACAGTAACAAAACAAAGTACAAAATACAATATTACACAAAGGCCGGTCTTATAGCTTCTTCCAGACAACCCAATTAGCTGGAAATAAAAGAAAGTAAGATAGTAAGGGACATTGTGCGGAATACAAGGCAAAAATTTTCTTGATAGTTGGATAGTGAGAAGATGAAAGGAAAAATACACTACAATAAAATTAATTTGAATATATATTCAAACATCAATACTCAAACATTGCACAATATAATGCCACTGAAACCGGTAAGTTCTAATGCAACAAAATCTATTAATAATTAGGTTCTTCCGACAAAAAGTGCTCTTCTTTATAATTCTCTTTCTTTATTAATTCTTTTTAAACAGCATTTTTTGGTTTTGTTATAGGTCTTCGCTGTGTAATTCTTATCGGTGTCTAATGTTTTATTTGTTTATGTTTTCCCGGACATTGATAATTGAAATGAACATTTTTTCAACCAGTATAAATTAATTAAAGTAAATTATTTTTTTACCCCAGAGCGTGAAAGGATATGAAACGACAGGAATATTGTTCAAAATGTGATTTATTATATTATTTACTGCTGAATTCATAATAGAAGAAAAAAACACCAGATGTACGTTTTTTTAAATAAATTAAAAAAAAAACCTCATCATCAGCCTATTAATGTCCCCACTGCTGGGGCACAGGCCTTCCCTATAGATGGAATAGGGAGATTGGGCCATGACCCACCAAGCGGGCCCAGTGCGGATTGGCGAGTGCTAACGACTGCAGATGCAGCCGGGACCAACGTGCCTTCCGAAGCACGGAGGAACTCGAGATAGAAGATTTTTGGTCACCCATCCAATGACCGACCACTGCGAAAGTGCTTAAATTCAACGATCGTAGCCGAACGCGCTAACCACTTGCGCCATCAAGCTCCTCAAAAAAAACCTATTGTTTACTAAATCGAAACACTAAATGCAAGAACTTTGTTTGTTACCATGCAAAAACCTAGAAAAAAGTAACATCCTATATTTCTCACCTGGCGAATATGTCGGCGGACAAAACGCATCCGATAATGTTGCCAAGATGGGGAACATTGTTTACGTATGGCAAGGCCGATGTGATTAGGATATTCTTGCGTCCCTTCACTGGTAACCTGAGAAGTAAAAAAAAAATTAAAAAAAAATCTTCTTTCACATAACAATACAAACATTATCTATAACATTAATACTTCTATTACAATTTCAAATTCAATTGGATAATTCTTTTTCTGTTGAGTTGAGCTTGAATACCACTCTACCATGAAGGTAGGATCGCTTATACGATCAATTTTTAATGGGGAGACAACGTAAAGCTCTTTACGGATGGCGATTTCGCCGTTTGGCCCATGACTAACAACCTGTCACTTCAATGCTGCGTTCCAAACCGACGCTCTAAATGCAACATTTACCCTGACGTTTAGTTTTTACATAAAATGTATGAAACTTATGTGAAATTAAACATTTGTGGCACCTGGAGCATGGGTTTGGAACGCAGCCCAAATCTCTCGGATTTTTTCGGGTTTATTGTGACTTTGACAGCAGTCTCAATTTGCTGCTTCGGGCCTTTCGATACCTGCGCTACTAGCGATGCGCGACTACGAATGATTTTACCTTTCGACTAATTCGTAACTACTAATTTGACTATTCGAAAGTCAAATTAGTAGTATACTGTCATTATTCGAATAACGACTACTTAGTAATGTAAATGTACAAGAGCGCAACTAATAAGGTAAGGACAGGTTCGTTCATCTTCGTCACGTAAGTCAGTCGAGAGTTGGTTAGTCGACCGACTTTTAGTCGTTAGTAATATTCTGCGGGTCGCTGCGTGCGACGCGCGCCGCCTGATACTTTCGACTCCAGTCGAATGATATAAAGCGTAGTCGACTTAGTCGAATGATGCGTGGAGTCAAATGATTAGTATTAGTATTATTCGAAGTCACGCATCGCTATGCGCTACTGACGGGACAAATCGGCGGTTTTCTTCCCCATCGAAAACACTGTTTTATCATCAAAAAATACTCTCAGGTAATACGAGGAAAAATCTTGTCTGTTACATAAGGCAATAACTCACAAAAATAACTAAAGCATGGAAAGTCGACTAATATAGTTATCTTATTTATACATTAAGACCAAAACAGAGACAAATATGTTGCTATGAACAGCGTGCGTACCACTATACAAATGTCAAATTGGATAATTTTGTTGCTCTGTACGCCTTGTGGATACCTCGGTTACCTTAACGATACCGAAGCAAAAAGTGATTCAATATCAAATGCAACCTGCCAACACGCCACTAATACCTTTTGGTTGGGTAATACTTTCTTTAGAAATCTTTAGTCTATGGGAATGTACGCTCCAAAGTACTTTCGTACTTCCATGTTTTAGTTCTTATTTTGAGGGCAAAAAATTCTTTTTGATATGGGGGTTTACTTACACTATTTTCTCTTCTTTTAGTGGAGCTTGCAATTTCTTTACGCCATTCAACCAATTCTCTTTGGCTCCTTCGATTTCTTCAATGGTGGGTCCGGACACTTCTTCTGGAGAACTATATAAAAATTTACATATTATCAGAACTAAATGTTAAATTATTTAATGACCGCACTCAGAGAAGTCACTTAACATTTTAGATTGACTAAAGCTGTATATATATATATATATAATATGCTTCGCGAGAAAGAAATCAATTTTCACCTTTGACACTAGGGGACGTAATGAAGTGGTGTTGTTATTTTTAAGCATTAAAGAAATTATTATTTTTTTTTCCAAAAACTCCACTTAGTCCAGGTTTCAGACAGGATTCAGGCCTGCCGTGTGCCTTTCGCAGACCAAAATTAATATTTTTTCCTATAAATTTTAATGCTTGTCTCAGTACGTACAACCATTTCAAAACCATAAGATAAATTTTTGCTTAAATAGTACAGTCAATCTGTCGGTTGAGTAGTGAAAAAAAAACCTAAAGGGTAAGTCTTGTTTTTTCTGTTGCCAAATGACGTCAGTAAGCCACCTTGGCGATGGGCATGTTCAACTCGTAGGCGTTTTTTGAAAAACTCAAAAAAACCGTCAAAAATTTTTTGAAACGCATTTTTCTTGTTTTGTATGCATTTTAGAAACTTTTTTTTCGACCATAATTGTAGAGGGCGTTGAGTACTATAATTTATGTCATTGTTGCAATCTCGTACAAAAAAACTGCACATTGTAGGTGAAAATATCATTTTAATAGAAAACTTTAAATGGAAAAGTTGTTCCGTACATAATTACCAACAACTTTTTGATGAAAAATCCAATAGAGCGGTTTTGGGCAGTTCAAGTGCACTGCAAATATGTACTTGAACTGCCCAAAACCGCTCTATTGGATTTTTCATACCTGCGCAATTTATAACTTGAAAACGGTAAGTAATACAAAAAAATTGTTTATACAAAAGTTATTGGTAATTATGTACGAAACAACTTTGCGATTTAAAGTTTTCCATTAAAATGATATTTTCAGGGTGAAAAAGTGAAAAAACACTTTTTTTGAGACTTTAGCGCCACCTACAATGCGCATTTTTTGTTGTACGAGATTGCAACAACGACATAAATTGTAGTACCCAACGCCCTCTACAATTATGGTCGAAAAAAAAGTTTCTAAAATGCATACAAAACAAGATAAATGCGTTTCAAAAATTTTTTGAAGGTGTTTTTGAGTTTTTCAAAAAACGCCTACGAGTTGAACATGCCCATCGCCAAGGTGGCTTACTGACGTCATTTGGCAACAGAAAAAACAAGACTTACCCTTTAGGTTTTTTTTTCACTGAAACGATTTTTTTTTCGACAGATTGACTTTACTATAAATGTCCCTAATTAAAAATCCCTGGAAACAAACTTGTTATTTTCTGAACAATCATATTTGACGTGACAGATTTTGCCGCCTTAAGTTTTGCCCGTGGACTAAGGATTACCCTTTTGTTTTACCAAATTTTTTTATGATGTCAAGATATCTAAAAAGTTTCTTTTATATTTGCGGTTTAAAAAAGTGATTTCAAAATAAAAAAAATGCAATTACGTATTCTGTACAAAGGAAAACTTGTCTGTTTGGATATTTTTAAGCGAATTGTCGGGCAAGTCAGAAATCACTTAGGCCGATCGTACCCGTTTCGTTTAACATTGTTGGTTTACTACAATGCGAAGATATGGCGCTGCCTCGCAGCCTGAAACTCGTATTAATATTATAAATCTGAAGATTTTGTTTGGTTGAACGTGCTAATCACAGGAAGTTTTGGTCCGATTTGAAAAATTCTTTTTGAGTTGGATAGGGCATTTAACGAGGAAGACTATAGGCTATACTTAAAACATTACGCTACGACAAAAAAAACCATTTGGGAGCTTCTATTGCGTGCGCTGCGTAAACGAGTAAAGTTACAAAAAAATCATGTATGACGGAGTTGTTCCCCTTTAAGTTTATATAAAAAAAGTCCGCGGCAGCATGTAATAAAACTAGCGGCCCGCCCTCGCTTCGCTTCGGTGTAGAGCTGAAGTGTAGACTACAGTTTTTGTTCTCAGGCTTGTATTATACACAAACACATTCATCTATGATTCTTCTTATACCTGCATGCAAAGTCTCAGCCCGATCGGTTTAAAATTGACAAAGTTTCATACAAACTTCATTCCCTATTTTATCTCCTTAGGGGTAGAATCGACCAAAATCCTTCTTCATCTAAGCGGATGCCTACGTCATAACATCTACCTGCATGCCAAATTTCAGCCCGATCCGTCCAGTGGTTTGGGTTGTGCGTTGATAGATCACTATGTCAGTCAGTCACCTTTGAGTTTTATATATACTTATAGATGGTAGGAAAGTCAAAACTGTACATTGAATATTTGTTTAAAAGAATACTTGGGGTGTGATCTACATTCGATACCGAAGCCAAAAATATAGTTTTTAGAATTTTTGTCTGTTTGTCTGTATGTATACCCCGGATACACTCAAAAAAAAACTGCATGCACTTACTTCAAATTTGGCACGAATATTATTAAGAAAAATATTATCAAGATATCACCTACGGGGAAGGAGCAGTGAACCTTTATCTCTAACTAACTCCACGCGCACGAAGTCACGGGCGGCCGCTAGTATAATATATCCATCTTAAGAAAATATAACTAGAAAAAATTCCACGCGGACCAGGCAGCAGACGGGACTCGAACCCGCACCCTTCGCAATCCGGGCGAATGCACTGACCAATTATGCTACCGCGGCCCTCACGGACCGCGTCGAAATTCCTTCTAGCTATTCTTAAGCTGCAAGGCAGCGCCATCTCTTCGTATTATAGGTAAACCCACAATGTCAAATGAATACTTTTACAAGTATTAAACATTTGAAAGAAGAAATAGCAATTATAGTTATAATTTTTATTATTTTTAAAGCATGTAACTGCTTGATGTTTAAATCTAAAGAAAATATAACTAGAAAAAATTCCACGCGGACCAGGCAGCAGACGGGACTCGAACCCGCACCCTTCGCAATCCGGGCGAATGCACTGACCAATTATGATACCGCGGCCCTCACGGGCCGCGTCGAAATTCCTTCTAGCTATTCTTAAGCTGCAAGGCAGCGCCATCTCTTCGCATTATAGGTAAACCCACAATGTCAAATGAATACTTTTACAAGTATTAAACATTTGAAAGAAGAAATAGCAATTATAGTTATAATTTTTATTATTTTTAAAGCATGTAACTGCTTGATGTTTAAATCTAAAGAAAATATATTATCAAGCAGTTACATGCTTTAAAAATAATAAAAATTATAACTATAAATGTTTAATACTTGTAAAAGTTTTCATTTGACATTGTGGGTTTACCTATAATGCGAAGAGATGGCGCTGCCTTGCAGCTTAAGAATAGCTAGAAGGAATTTCGACGCGGTCCGTGAGGGCCGCGGTAGCATAATTGGTCAGTGCATTCGCCCGGATTGCGAAGGGTGCGGGTTCGAGTCCCGTCTGCTGCCTGGTCCGCGTGGAATTTTTTCTAGTTATATTTTCTTTAGATTTAAACATCAAGCAGTTACATGCTTTAAAAATAATAAAAATTATAACTATAATTGCTATTTCTTCTTTCAAATGTTTAATACTTGTAAAAGTATTCATTTGACATTGTGGGTTTACCTATAATGCGAAGAGATGGCGCTGCCTTGCAGCTTAAGAATAGCTAGAAGGAATTTCGACGCGGTCCGTGAGGGCCGCGGTAGCATAATTGGTCAGTGCATTCGCCCGGATTGCGAAGGGTGCGGGTTCGAGTCCCGTCTGCTGCCTGGTCCGCGTGGAATTTTTTCTAGTTATATTTTCTTTAGATTTAAACATCAAGCAGTTACATGCTTTAAAAATAATAAAAATTATAACTATAATTGCTATTTCTTCTTTCAAATGTTCAATACTTGTAAAAGTATTCATTTGACATTGTGGGTTTACCTATAATGCGAAGAGATGGCGCTGCCTTGCAGCTTAAGAATAGCTAGAAGGAATTTCGACGCGGTCCGTGAGGGCCGCGGTAGCATAATTGGTCAGTGCATTCGCCCGGATTGCGAAGGGTGCGGGTTCGAGTCCCGTCTGCTGCCTGGTCCGCGTGGATTTTTTTCTAGTTATATTTTCTTTAGATTTAAACATCAAGCAGTTACATGCTTTAAAAATAATAAAAATTATAACTATATCCATCTTTTCAGTTTGACTCACTATAACCTTTTGCCTCAAATCAACGTGGGTGAAACCGCAGGGGACTTCAATTACTAGATGAAATTCGACTTTCCATTTAGATCTCGGTAGCATATTTGGTAAATACGACCTCTCGGATTGCGGAAGACGCAGATTCGGTTCCTGTCTGATGCTTGGACCGAGTGATTTTATTGAAGTAAAAATTTTCTTTAAAATCATATAAACCCTATTCCAAAACGCTGACTAAAGTTTGTCATGGTTTAAACCTTCTTTTAGCAAACAAAAGTTACAACATCAGTTTTAATCCAACCCCCCTAGCATGAGTAACAAAACGCGATATGATAAAGCGATTTATCGACATTTACTGTCAAACTACAATGGAGTTTGACAGTTGAGTGTCGATAAATCGCTTTATCATATCGCGTTTTGTTAGTCATGCTAGGGGGGCAAGTTTAACTTTAGTCTACGTTTTGTAATAAGGTGGCATGTAAAACTTACCCAATCGGTGATACTATGCTGGCGATCTGCGGAGTGCCTAAAACCGATATAGCTGGGAAAGGTCCTTTCGGAGAGCCGTTCCATTGCTTCAATGCTTCCTAAAAATAAATAAGTATTTCTAACACTCACACCAATGACAGTGTTCAGGAATGACGGGCGCCAATTGGCAGTACTGAGCCGAAAGTTCTACTCATCCGTCAAATCTCGATATCTATGATGTCGTCATAGTCTATGGATCAATTTAAATGCTCGCTCGATTAATTCGCGCCAAAAACTTCATACAAAAGACCTCACGCCCCAGTGGCGCCAACTAGCGTGAATTTTCGAAAACATCCTCATTAGCCTAACCCAAAGTAAGTACTGCAAGGCTTGTGTTATGGGATACTAGGATAACGGGTAGAAAACATATACAGTTAACTATATTCTTCGGGGCCACGACATTTTATGCGTGAAAATTGGTTTCCGATACAAACTTACGCTCCCCTTTCACATCTCCTTATAGAATTTCTGGCGTAAAGATTTTTTTAATTAAAGAAAATTTCTTTTTCCGGGACTCAAACTATCTCTATATCAGATTTCATCTGAATCGGTTCAGCGGTCGAATCGTGATGAGGCATAAGACAGGTAGCAATATTTCATATTAGTATAGATAGTAATTCTATGGTGAGGCAATTGTAACAAAGTATTTCTTTACCTGTATTGCTTTGGCAGCCGCCAACTCTTCCACCCACCGACCGATGTGTTTAAATTGTGCCATGTAGGGCTCTCTCAGATCTTCGTTGTAATACAAAGGGTAGATAGTACTCCATATTGAAATATCAGCGGCTGATAATTTGTCCTGTAAAAAATGAATTTTAACTTATCTTAGTTAAAAAAGGGAAACTTAAGAAAGTACAACAATTGTTTCGACGCCATTTCTGTGCCCGTTAAAGGTGGACTCTACCCGTTAAAGGTCAACTGACGAATTTATTTAATTTATGCTGTGCCCATTATATATTTATATACACTGTATCAAATTACACTCTACGTGACTATGAAAGAGACAGTGATAATTTAATTTTAGCGTAAGCATCTAGTTAAGTATAATAATAATTTTGGATACCTACATCATATTGTTGTAAATCATTGAAACACAATATAAAATCTTTTTATCAAAAAATATCAGTTTTAATACGGAACCCCAACTTTTTGAAAATACTCTATAGCCTATGTCCATCATAGATAATGAAGGATTCTTAATGTGAAAGAATTTTTCGATTCGGTCCAGTAGTTTCGGAGCCTATTCAATACAAAACAAACAAAAAAATCTTTCCTCTTTATAATATGAGTATAGAAAAAAAACCGCTGGAGACCTCCACGTGTTCCTGAGAAAATGGGTCTTGGCAGACGGTCGGACAACAAAGTGATCCTATATGCGTTCCGTTTTTTTCTTCCGAAGTACGGAACCCTATAAACTGAACTTCTTATTATGAAATATTATTAAGTACCTACTTACCCCCAATATATACTTATGTTTGCTAAGCATCTGATCCACCACAACCAGGTTTCCTTCTAGCGATTGTTTCAGTTCCGCTGTCGGAGTCTTTGTATTGATTATTGCTGACACAGCAGGTTGTAGACGAGTCGCCTCCCACTCTTGCATCTGTTGGCTGGTAAAATTTCCTGATCTATACTAATGCCGCAATTACATTTGGTCGTTAGCTCGTATTCGGGGGCACGAAAGACATTACTCGAATTAGGGCACCCGAAGCAATATTTACATTGGAATACGGGCCGGAAAATGTCGGGTAAACAAAAGGAAATCTACCCGAATACGAGTGTACTCGACTCGGTTCATTTATTCTTAGTCGTTTACCCGAATTCCATTGGCACTCGTGTTCGGGCTAACGACCAAGTGTAATCACGCCATCACTACATAGTATAAAACAAAGTCGCTTTCTCTGCCCCTATGTCCCTTTGTATGCTTAGATCTTTGAAACTACACAACGGATTTTGATGCGGTTTCTTTGAATAGATAGAGTGAATCAAGAGGAAGGTTTATAATTTGTGTGTGTTTGATGTGATAATTTTAGAGGTTTTTAATGTAAGGTCGTAAATAATTGTACACCTTAAAAAGGTCTACAAAAAAGTCCGCGATGGTATATGCCTATCTCTTTGGTATAACCCACAATAACCATTTTTTAATTACTTATTACGAGAAAATAATGGCTTATTTACGAACAAGCGATTTTAAGCAATACAGCATTAATCCTTATCCAATTAAGTACCTTAAATACATTGTGCGTGTAATATATATCAATATGGCCCTTTACAGCACGTAATTTAAATGAATATTTTCGAAGATATTACAGATTTAAAATGCAGGAACATACCGGTTTGGGCAGCACTGGCCGGGGCGGCGCGGCGCGTGTCTTTAGTAATTAGGTATTTAAAGAAAGTCATTGTGTTTAATAGAAGCTTGAGAACAAAAATATAGTCTAAACTACAGCTCTACACCGAAGCGAAGCGAGGGCGGGCCACTAGTAATATTATAAAGCTGATCTTTACTTAATATTATGTAGCTGAAGAGTTCGTTTGCTTGTTTGAATTCGTCCGATTTAAAAATTTCTGATTGTGTTGAATAGTCAATTTATCGTGTAAGACTTATATAACATGGCTATATAACATGACGCTACTACAAAAACGGGAATATTAATACTCCTGGAAGATTCCTTTGCTTGCGCAGAGTAAACAGTTAAAATTACGCAAAATTTAAGAAATTTAATGGGTATTTGTATGCTTAATAGCTGTCAAATTAGTATGGTTTGTGTCTAAGAAATCCGAAAACATCTACATTTATTATTTTACTGACATTATTGAAGTTCAAAGATTAGAAAGACGCGCAGATCAGAATATCACGAAAGCATTCGTGATGGCCGGTTCAACCGATGAATGAAAAAGCCGTTACAGTAAAAACTTAATACTACAGAGCACGCTTCTGGAGTAAAAGCGGTCTTAGCTGCATATGCAGTCGTGAATAATTACGTATTATGAACTGAGCAATCTGAAAGACCAATGGCTTGCTCAAAATGTATTTTAAGTAACGCCATTGGTAAATTTCTCTAAAACTCCACTCGGCTCCACGCAGTTCCGCTTTTGTGGAAACGCAGCCTAACAGGCTCAATGAATGAATTAGAATTTAGATGAAAGCATTATCTACTAACAAAGACCGCTAAAACAAGGTTCCAAACTCATACAACAAAATTTTAATACTAATAACGCGACCATGCGAACAGACTAAAAAAAGAATTATAAAATTCTAATATTTTCAAATAGTTCGGCTCCAATCATCCATTCATTGTGTAAGATAATATTAAAAGGGCAATCGCAACTAATCCCATGATCAGCGATCGGCGAGTTTTGCTTGATCGCTTTTTTTTTGCCCCGCCCATTTGATCGCAGTTTGCGTGGAACACCACTTTTTAGCACAGTTCGTATTCCATATCATTTCTTATTCGTTACGCTAAACTTAATAAACATTGAATTTAAATATCCAGCTTACCACTGCCCGTTGTCCGACAAGTCCAACACTGGGAAGAGGTACTGCGCAGCGGCATTACTTGAGAAGAAGCTGAGCTGGTCATCGACCTCGAGCAGTGGCAGCGCCCGCGGGCCTGCGAATACATCGTCTGCAACAAACGCCTCGGTACCGTCACCCTGTTAGTCTTTGAAGCTGTTAGTGCATGCCAACAACACATAGATACTCTGAATGCGGCAGTAAAAAGATGAACAAGATGACTGATACATTCCCATTACCATATTTTGACAACAATTATCAAAAAAAAAATTATAACAACAACAATCATATTAAGGCTATGCTTGCTATTATTATTTTGAAACTGAAAGCTAGTATTTTATATGAAAATTCATTCGAAATAGTACATTTTAATGAAATAAACATTTACATAAAGTTCCATGCTTTTGAAACACATAGAATTACTGACTGTTTGACAAAATAATATCACACCTAATGATTAAAGAAGCCATGCCACTACAGAGACAAATTATAAATGCCAACAAGAAATTCTGTCTCTCTCGCATGAACAGAATGTCTTATGTCACTATTTGCTATTTGATGTTTATTAGAGTGAGAAATATATCTTTAATGCCTTTCAAATGTTTAGAGTACAACATTCTAATAAAAATTTGACTTGAGGCACTCCTAGCAACTATTAGTTGGAGCATAATTAATGAATTATAATTTGAATTTATTATATTTATTATGAATTAATATTTATGATTTTATTATGATTTAATATTTGAAATAAGGAATTGCCTGTCTTTTGATATAAGATTCCACATCATATGGTCTTCAGGCACCAAACCACTTGTTGATAGATAAAATTGAATAATTATATTCGCCTGAATTCAGAATTAAAATAAAAGAGTTCAACATCTAATTAGTTTTCATTTATAACGTTACGCCCCCAGGATCTACCCCTTCAGGGTAGAACTCCGCAGTACCTAGGTTTTCTAGACATTTCATAATCTTCAAGATTAGCAAATTTTCTTTATCAATCCAATATCTGCTATGTGTATTTTTTGGAGGTTTAGATATTATCATCATTTTGACTAGTTTACTAAATGCTTTTTAAATACAAAGACTGTTATGCAAATCTTTAGCGATATAATGGTGGTTGGAGGTTGTTTAAAAAAAAATGTGATGTGCATCAGCCAGAATATTGTCAAATATTAAATATAAATAAATATTTTTTTTCAACACTAACCAATTAGCCCCTAAGTAAACACTGTAATTCTTGTGTTATGGAATACTAAGGTAATGGATAAAATACATATACTGTATGACCATGACTGGATTACAAACGCTTGTATTTATCATAGAAACATCTACCCTCATTGGAATTTGAACCCGGGACCTTTTGAGTCGGTGACACCATGACACCCTGCATACTAACCACTTGGCCATGGAGGTTGTCATATTAAATGCCATATTAGTTTTTTTTTTTCATAGCAGATATTGGTTTGACAACAACCAGATAAGAAAATCAACTGTGTAAGCTGCGCTTCGAAACTTCTATTGAATTTAATGTTTGTTATAGTGTAGTGTTTTCATATTCTATTGCTATTGCAAAAAAAGAGTCAGCAATTATAATTATAAAATGCTTGACGTTTCTGAGTGCTGTCCTTATGATGCTTTGTTGTCTATAGAATTTATTATTGACTAACGGTCCGCCCTCGCTTCACTTCGGTGTAGAGCTGAAGTGTAGACTACAGTTTTTGTTCTCAGGCCTGTATTATACACAATGACATTCATCTATGAATCTTCTTATACCTGCATCCAAAGTCTCAGCCTGATCGGTTAAATATTGACAAAGTTTCATACAAATTTTCATTCCCTAGTTTATCCACTTGGGAGTAGAATTGATCAAAATCCTTTCTTAGCAGGTGCCTACGTCATATCCAAATTTCAGCCGGATCTGTCCAGTGGTTTGGGCTGTGCGTTGATAGATCACTATGTCAGTCAGTCACCTTTGAGTTTTATATAGATAGATATTATAACATGCACATCACATATAGAACTCTGATTTCAAGATAAGGAGCTAAAGCAAAGAAGGTGCCCCAAGCAAGATACAAGACATTATAGAAACACTGACTTTCTATATTGCCCTGTTATGGTATCCAACCAAAGAACTCAATAAGGATTTGAGAGTCAATGACAACTTCCTTGTCCTTATAGTTATAGAACACATCAGTCACTTTCAAACATATAACTCAAAACACGTAACGTAATTATTATGATTCAATTCTAATAAGAATTTTGAAACAAATTAGATCTTGCACTATTAATCGATTTTCGATGTTAAAGTTACAATAACACCATACCATTACAAGTATTACTGAGACACGTAATAAATTATAATGATTTTATAACTAAATTGAGGTTTCATATTAAAAAAAAACTAATAATATATAAGAAAACGGCGCTACCTACCTGCAAACGATGCACTTTGCAGTTTCACCTTCTTCCCTGCTAAATTGGCCGCTATAAGCAACTTTAGCGTCGAAGTATTATTTTCGTTCGTATAGATCTTCATTTCACAATTTTTTGGTTCAACTATTGATTATAATGTATTAAATTATGTTTTCTTGTAAGAAATAACCTCAATTTCCACCTGGCATCCCATTACCTATGTGACAGTGACGGCTTGTCACAATCCCTGCGGTCCGAATCGCGGAAACACTGCCAAAGTCACGAACAGTGCAAATACTAAGGAGATCTATACTGCTTGCTGTTCGATACTTCATGAAAACTTTTAGTGAAATAGACATTATTTTATTATCTGCCAAGAGAATACAAACAATTTTGAGAACATTCGTACAACACTGCGACGCATAGTTTAATGAAATAAAGGAAGAGAAATAACAATTTGTATACTTACTATACAGTTTAAAACAATAAAAAAATCTAAAATTTTAAAGAGAAAGTAAACAAAGAGAATATAAACTACTGAAAGTAAAGGAAGTATTCAGATTTTTTATGCAAAAAAAACTTCAAACGTCAAATTTGCGTTTGACTTATTTTCGTGAGCAGCGTTTACAAGGCATAAGGCCCGTATTACAGAATGTTAACTAATTGTTGATCTTTACTTGAGTACAGTTAGAAAGGGATGTCGCTATGTGCTATTTAAAGCGACATCCCTTTCTAACTATGCTCAAGACTAGGTCAATCACTGCGAATCTTTCTATAATACGGGCCTTAATGTCATTGATGACGTAACATGAATTTCGTTGGCACGATTATGTTCATATCGTACCTGCTGTACCCCAAGCACGAACCAATATCGAATTCGTATCGTTTGCGAGTCCGAAATGTCATTGTCAAATGTGTAATGATTTTTTGTTCTCTTTACGTACTTTGTGCCGCTGCTGTTCAAGTTTCCATACAAAATTTGACATTGACATTTGATTTGCAAACTATTCGAATTCGATAATGATTCGTGCTAGGGGTACAGTTGTAGGCGCGCTACTAACGGTGCAAATTGTACGAAATCGCGCAATGCGGACCGCAGTGAATGTCAACCTGACGTTACGGAAGGTAAAGGATCTAACATTAAGCCAAATATTCGATATTTATCTTGTCTTTTTCATTGCCATCCGATGATTGCTTGATATATACTAAACGTTGTCAAATTATTGTATACATAACATACTATTGGAACCCCGCAACTCTCGCTCGAATGGAAAAATTTGGTTTCACACACAAAATTCCACCTCAATATGTCCTTTTCTGTTACTCAAACTATTTCCATACCAAACATAATTTATATAACTTCGATCAAGATTTACTTCGATTATTAAGTTCTGAATCCTCAAAGCATGCAACTGAAAAAATGGGAAACGTCAGTTTTAAAAGCAAAACACAGATATTAAATAATTTATTTAAATAAAAAAAAACAACAGTTACTGTCATCAAAACTTGCCTAGACATAGCTAATATTACACTATTTTCATAACAACGTTTTGGAATTAAACTTACGATACTAAAGTATTTATTAATTTTACTTTCGTTTTAATTTTAAAAAACTGAAAATTAGTATTAGGTTGCTGGGCGCTAGGGCAACCGCATATTCTTGGTACTTTCGACACTCGCAAGTTTGTACCCACGCATTTTATACTGCTAATGACTCTCTGCTTAACTAATCAAATAAAAGTTGATGTCTATTTGTGTAACTTCAACTTCTAGCATGATTCATTTTTGGTAACATGCCTCAAGGATATTCACGAACTACAATTATTTAACAAATCAGTGGTGTCGATGCGCCGGTATGATTCTCTAAATCTAAAATTAAATTTGACTACGGTGCATCCTTGTCATTCTCTATACAGAATGAAAAGGAGAGACTGATGATAAATTCAGTTTAAATTGAAGTGTGATCCCCTCACATATATGATTTCAATCATTATATCAAAATAGCGATGTCGTATTCGATATTTTGACTTATCTATTGAAATCATATACGTAAATGACAAATGCTAAGATATTTAAAAAGCATTGGGATAAGTGTTGAAACTGCACAACTTGCCGCCAGTTAAGAGAGATACTCATTGTACTCATTGAAATTATTAATTAAAATTTATTGGTTTAATTATTATATATTAACACACGCAAACAGTACAGCAATATTTATTTAAATAAATACATATCTTATATGAACTTAGGATTTCGTGTTACAGCTTGTGTTTTTATTTATCAATTTCAGATATGGGAAATAGCTTTAGGTACCTATATGGTTCTCTATTAAATTGCATACTTCCAATATACCTATATCCATATCAAAAATAATACAGGACTGGTATGCCCCTATTAAGAAACGAAGAATAGGCTTAGTTACTCCATGTTTATCTCTGTTCAATTGAATGACATAAGGAATTTCGAGTGACATGACCAAACACGGCGTAACTAGTCTAAGCTTAGTCCTTGTTTTTTAATAAGGGAGTTAAGGTTCATTGTATTGCGTTAAGCATTATAAAATGACATCATAAATATCAAATACTTAACCAGTAAGGCTCTGTTTTATTACAATTATAAATCAAGTATCAAAATGACTCATTCGTCATTTATTTCATTTGAATTATGAAAAAATACGATTAATCTTTTATCTTCTTCCGTCATAGATATATCTTCTTTCTTCTTGATATACAATATGTACCTATGCTTATTAAAATTCACTGGGCCCGTATAGAAGAAGATTTCACAAAGTACCTACCTACACAAATACATATTTCCCAAAAACAATTCTATGTATATAATTTATCCAGAATACGCTGTAACACACTAAGAATGCTATCTACTTTTTATTCTTTCTGAAGTGTAGCATTCAACAACACAGTGTGTTAATTTAAAAGAATCATGTTATAAGAAAAAGTTTTGACACATAATCAGCATTTCACGAAAATGACCAACATCTTTGATTTACATTATTTTTTATTGTTACTATGAAAAACACCAATCTTTGCCAATCATCCCTTTGATTGGTGTTTTTTGACACGTTTCATTTAGCATATGGCTATTAAATTAACACCCTGTATACAATAACATACGCCACACAATACATCACTCGGTACACAAAACATATTTCCACAGTCACACTGTCCACTTACTATTAGCTAATGCTAAACTATAAAATACAATATGATATTTTCTCTTAAATTTTAATAGAGTAATTTTAATATCTCCGCCTAGAGCGTTTTTTAGAGTTTCACAATTGATAAATTTTAATGTTTCACAATAAATGAAACTATAAAATACGTTTATCAAATTTTTTCCAGTCCATTGTGTTGCTTACATTCAACCTTATCCCTTAATATCACATTGACAAAAATAATATTAAAAAAAAACAAAATAATTTACACATTAGAATGTGTGAATTATATATTTGTCCTCGTAGTTAGTATACGCTTTATGTACGTACCTATATAATGTTACTATTCTTTATTCAATAGGTTTTTAAACTATTAACTTGATTCAAATTCATCTGTCTAATTGGTTATGTTCATTAACAAAATATTATAACTTTTGATTATATAGGTACACGCCTAGATAGAGCAATTCAAATAAATCACGCAAAGAAAACTACTCATGTTACTCGCAATGTGTGCGTGACTCCAATGTGATTGTTCGAAAGCAATCAATGTGTGCGTGTGTAGCGACGAGCTTATCTACCATATATAGTAGATATTTTTGGACCGCATCCGTGCAGTAAATACGGTACCTATCTGGGCGTGATTATAATCAAAGATTATATTAGGAATATAGTAATGAATTTTATAGAAAACGGAGCTCAATTTAAACTAGATCTTTTTTTGCGAACCCAACCCTATGCTCCAGATTATTATCACAAAGTTGAATGATAAATTATTATGTATTACACTAGGTTTTTTTGAATTTTCTGTCACTTAAATCTTAAGCATGTACAATCTGGATTAAATGGACCAAAATAGTATGATTTTTGTTTCAATCAGAAAAAATTGATGCGTGATATTTGCCGAGACCCCCCTCTCTCCAACGTAAGATTAGATGAGATTTGACTCGACCCCCTCCCCCCCTTAAACATCTCACGTAATTTATGGACGCCCTTATTAATGAAACAATTATTAACAGAAAGTATTTTTTTCATTTTTATTAAGACGAAAGCTTTTTATAAGTAGGTATTGAGTATTTCAAAAAATACTACACCTACACTTGGTACGGGATATGTATTGTAATAAAAATGGTTGCAAAAATAAAGATTTGCTTGAATGTTGTTTAAGGTGTTAAAAAAAAATTATTAACTGAAAAAGAATAAACAAACTTTTTGGCCGGAAAAATTTACAACTTTTGACACTGACAGTCCGCTTTTCCAGGCAAAGGGCCGCATGCACAGTACAGCCTAAAATGAACATGCTTCTGAAATTCCCACACAATTGAATCATATAAACCACTTTTTAATTCACCGCAAAAGTTAACAACTTAAATTGTACTGTGAAAAATAAAAGATGTACATACTTATTATTGTACATTATACTTCCTCCTCATACAAACTTTCCTCCTCAAACAAACTTTCATCACCATTTATCACCCCCTTCAACTTTGATTTTCACTACAAAAATTAGTCTGTATACTTTTTTAAGACCCTTTCTACACACCTCAACTCATGAAAATCAACTCAGCGGTTTAGAAGTCAGAGTTACGTACGAAATAATAAACATAATTTTCTTCTATAGGTGTGAAATGTTAATCACTGAATAACTTCCAATCGACTGTGCTGATTTTAATGGAATTTTTCGTAGGTATAATTGTGAATCTAAACTATCTAAAGATGATTGTCCGTACTCAGAGATGTCAAATAAATTTAACTCTCCGTAAAGGCCGTGTTGTCTCATTATTTTGTTACCGCAAAAAAGGGCTTGATTGTAACATAATTCTCTAAAACTAAACTTGATAAGAGTTATGTCCTCATCTTATTCTAAAGAGAACGAAAAAGAGATACTGTCGTCAAATATAGTTTTAGATTTAGAGATTCATGCCAGAATTATACCCATAATCAACTTTACTCTATTGAGTAGATTCACTAATAGGTCCGGTAGGTAACACTGTTTATTAGAAGAAACGAGTAAATAATCTTATACTTAGACTAATGAATTAATCTTCAGAAAATGATTACATGAAAAAATTTTACTCTGTCAAGATTTCAGGCAAGGCTCGAACCTGCCTGAAACTTTGTCCGAGTTAAATTATTTCTAGTAAAAACTTTCCTTCGATTTCCAAATTAAGCAGATTAATGCTCAAACTAAAAAATGTAATAGACTAAGTTTATTTTTCTTCGAGTGGAGTCGAGGTGGAGACTCCATTATTCTCGTGCTATAGACTATTCGAGACGGGTGCAGATAAAGGGGAAGCCTTCTCCCTATTCCTGCAAGGATTACTAGCCGTATTGAGGGATCCAGACCAATCTGCTAACTGAGTGACTGGTTTATAAAACTTGGTTGATGTCCGGTTGAATATTGGCAGGAGTTCGTTAGCTTCATTCGATAGAGCCTGTAAGAAAAAAAAATATTTTATCTAATTATCGTCATTATCAGTGAATTATTGTAAGCATTGAAGTTTTTATATAAGAAGATTTTAGACCCTATTGGGCACAGCAAAACTCAAGTAAGTAGTTAGGTTATTTGTTACAAACATACAGAAATACAATATTACCTTAAGGTATATAACAGCGTCGGTTCCGAAGCCCTCACAAGACATCAACACCAAATCTCCATGAAAATATCTGGCATACAGCCTAGATATAGGTAAGCCGTACCCGTAACCTGGACAATACAAAAATATATATAAATTATGTTTAATATTTAAATCCATGCGAAAGTCTCTGTCTGTTACCTCTTCATGCTTAGACCGCTAAACCGATTTAAATGAAATTTAGTATAAGGACAGTTTGTGTTTCCGGAAAGGACTGTATGGAATTTCAATTCAATTAGACAACTATATAATAAAATTCCCTTGCAATGTGTGAAATAAATTATATGAGACACATTACTTTATAGATAGAGATAGATAGATAATTCTTTATTGAACACACCACATTATAAAGTACAAAGTTAGGACACTAATTTACAAAGGTGGACAATTGGCGGTCTTATGGCTATGTAGCCATTTCTTCCAGATAACCATAGGATGGAGAGACGAAATTTAATTAAAGAGGGGATGTGCAAATACAAAACTAAAATAAAGAAAAGTTTTACTAGAAAAACATCCACGTGGACCAGGCAGCGGACGGGACTCGAACCCGCACCCTTCGCAATCCGGGCGAATGCACTGACCAATTATGCTACCACGGCCCTGATGGCCGCGTCGAAATTTTCCTAGCCTTTAGCTGCAAGGCAGCGCCATCTCTTCGCAATGTAAGTAACCCACAATGTCAAATGAATACTTTTTCAAGTATTATACATTTGAAAGAAGAAATAGCAATTATGGTTATGTTTTTATTTTTTAAGCATTTAACTGCTAGATGTTTAAATCTAAAGAAAAGTTTTACTAGAAAAAAATAGCGAAGGGTGCGGGTTCGAGTCCCGTCCGCTGCCTGGTCCGCGTGGATTTTTTTAGTAAAACTTTTCTTTAGATTTAAACATCTAGCAGTGAAATGCTTAAAAAATAAAAACATAACTAAAATAAAGAAATTATAATATTATTACAGATTATAATATACTCACCAGCTAATGGTACGGTGTGTGAATCAGACTTGGAAGGCTGCGGGGCCGTACTGTACATATATTTGAACAGTAGATCGGTGACACTCCTCGGTATGCCGCCACCTCGGTCTGACATCTGGAATAATGAGACTAGATTATTTTCAGGTTTCATCATCATATTCATCAGCCTAAGAATATCCCCACTACTGGGGCACAGGCCTTCCCTATGGATGGAATAGGGAGACTGGGCCATAACCCACCACGCGGGCCCAGTGCGGATTGGCGGGTACTAACGACTGCAGATGCAGCCGTGACCAACGGCTTAACGTGCCTTCCGAAGCACGGAGGAACTCGAGATAGAAGATTTTTGGTCACCCATCCAATGACCGACCACTGCGAAAGTTACCTGCCGAACGCAGGTAACTTTCCCAGTGGTTCACACATCTACTATATAAAAATAAGTCGGGTTTTCCTTCCTGACGCTATAACTCCAGAACGCACGAACCGATTTCCACGGTTTTGCATTCGTTGGAAAGGTCTCGGGCTCCGTGAGGTTTATAGCAAAGAAAATTCAGGAAAAATTAAAAAAAAACTTCTTTTAATCACCAAACGAAATGTTACATAAAACGAAGCCATCTGGTGGCGAAACGGAGTTCGCGGGGTTTGCTAGTACTCTATAAAAAACGATCAAAATACCTGGTGCCGCAGCATTATTATTATTAATCTACACGCCCTACATTAACGAAGCAAGACTTGAAACTCCTAAACAGATGACGCTACCGGCGCTGCACTCGAAAAGTATGAAAGCCTACATCGCGCAAGTGAAATTCGGAGGTTAACACTTCATATAATGCAATGCAGCCCACGAGCTAACATCACCCAACTCGGTGGAACATCATCCCCTTTGGCCTCCGTACAGTCTTTTGGCGATGTAAACTTACCTTAACTGCTATATCCTCCTTTCCATTGATCAGATTGACTTGTATAGGTGGCGGGGCGCTCTCATGGTGTTCCATCACAGCTCTCATGGCATTCTTGAACAACTCGAACAACATGTGGTACAGATGTGAAGGAACATACACTATAGGCATCGGCCTGTCGCTTGGCACTGGAACAAGAACATCATCGTTAGTATATTTGTTTCTTTGGTTTTCACGCACATCACTCATTAAATAAAACTAGTTTTAACGGGTTAATGCACGAAACTTTATTTATTTATTGACGTTTCGCAGCCTTTTCAGGTCTGCATCGTCAGAATACTGATATTTTATTTAATTTTGTCGAGCTACCTTCGAAAGACTTATTGAGCATTCGGTTATTTCCTTGGAAGATTTTAAAATTTTATTGTCTATATATGTATTTATTAGTTAATTTAGTTAATAGAGTACTTTATTTAAAATTATTTTTGTAATTTTGAGTTTATTTCTTTGACCCTAACTTTCCAAATTTGAGAGACCTTTCTGAGAAGAACCGGCGAAACAAACTCAGAGAGGCTTTCTATCAACCTTCTTATGTTAAATCATGCAAACAAAAAGAACTAATAGTATCTGTTGGTCTTCTCAACACACACACTGCAGAATTAACATAGGCGCAAAAATAAGTCTGCAGTGTGTGAACATGCATTAGAGGGTACAAACCATTACATTAGATTTGATAAACCACAGATCCTTGCAACTGAGCAACGATTCATTCCTAGAATGATACGCGAGGCTATTGAGATTAAAAAATATCCAAATTTCAATAGGGAAGATGGTTGGTATATACCACCAGCTTGGGAACCCATTATACAAGAGATAAAATCCCAACCCCGAGCACACACTGCAAAACCAACAGATACTATTAGTTCTTTTTGTTTGCATGATTTCACATAAGAAGGAGATAGAAAGCCTCTCTGAGTTTGTTTCGCCGGTTCTTCTCAGAAAGGTCTCCCATTTTTGGAACCGGTGGTAGTTTACGATAGTTAGGATCAAATAAATAAACTCAAAATTACAAAAAGAATTTTAGATAAAGTACTTTATTAACTAATAAATTCATACATAGACAATAAAATTTTAAAATCTTCCAAGGAAGGTAGCTCAACAAAATTAAATAAAAAATCAGTATTCTGACGATGCAGACCTGAAAAGGCTGCGAAACGTCAATAAATAAATAAAGTTTCGTGCATTAACCCGTTAAAACTAGTTTTATTTAATCATCGTTAGTAGAAATATTATAAACTAGTGGCCCGCCCTCGCTTCGCTTCGGTGTAGAGCTGTAGTGTAAACTATACTTTTTGTTCTCAGGCTTGTGCTATAAAGAATGACTTTATTTATATAATTACACGTGTTATTGTGAGTCAACCATAAAAGATAGACATATGCTGTTGCGGGATATTTTTTAGACAATTTTATCCTTACACGCCTGAATAGCTCGCAGATTGCAGAATTTTTTCAGACTTAAATGACATTTATCGTTATATTTTGGACAATTCACACAATATCTTTATAAATTATAGCCTATGTGTTATTCTGATCAATAAGCTACATTACTGTAAAGTTTCATTAAAATCCGTTTAGTAGTTTTTGCGTGAAAGAGGAACAAACATCCATCCATACATCCATCCAAACAAACTTTCGCCTTTATAATATTAGTAAGGATGTGAAATGGTGTCTATCTATTACGTTTTCACGCCTAAACCACTGAATCGCGTTAGGTGAAATCTGGTAAAGAGATAGTTTAAGTATTGGGAAAGGACAAAGGATAGTTTTTATCCTAGTAATCTGAATGGAAAGCTCCACTAGTTATGTATAGTATAAAACATCTAAAACATTTCGTTTATGAATTCTTCAATTTGACATTGCCAAAGGTTATATCATTTTAGCGTCATTTGCTCTCTGATTCAACTGAAAAATTGAACGTTTAATTTTTTAGCAAGTACATTTGATATTTAATGGAAATAAAATCCCACCGAAAACATTTTCATTTAACACTTTGCCGAGGCGGGACCATATGACTCACACTGTCGCAAACTCTACAAGGTCTAACTTCACAAACTCTAGACCTTAGTCAAAATAAGTGGCTTGGCCATTTCGCTACATTCACATGGGCGTAAAGTGAAAAATGTATCCACTGTTCATTACTTTTCTATACAGCATGAAAGTAATGAAGCCTATATACACGAACCCACGTAAAAACTTCAAAAGCGCGATGCAGGACTCACCTCCCATCTGCAACAGCTCGAGGTCGGGCGACGCCAAGTAGTACCTATCGCAGAGGAACCTCGCGTTCTCGTACGCGTCTCTGACTACCGCGACTACGTCACACGCGGGGTCAATGGACCCAATGTGGCGGCCGCCGTTGCCGATGCCGTTGACTGAAGCCTGCCTGGCGGTGGTCTGCTCCTCACCGAAGAGGAGGGCTGCGAGGAAACACAGGATTTATGGTAAAAAAAACAGTGTCCTACGTGAATAAGTATTACCTAATAGGCCACTCACTCATCACCATGCCGCTTGAACAAGTGGCTCGATTAAATTGGCTAGATCAAGCCAAAATCTTTCCATGGAGTAGCATGTCTTTCCAAAATGTCTCCCCACATACGGTCAGTTTGGCATGATCAGGTCTATTTGGTCAGGCCACTTAATCGAACAGTAGGTTGGTGAGTGTCCACCATAAGAGAACAGTTCAAAAATCAGCACTTTTTTATTCCTTCACTCTTTAGTTCGGGTATGAACCGAAACTACAACGGTATGGTGCGTAATTTAGAGCGAATCTCCTATTAAAAGATATATAACTCACTGTGCTGGTTGATCAGCATTCTGATCGAGATGCGGCTCATGTAGAATCTGTCCAAGAAGTACTGTATGGAGTTCTCTGTGCCGACGTCCACCTCATGCGACTCCTTCAGTTCCAGCACGCCTTGCGCCATCGTCTGCACCACGTCTGCGTGACGGTTCCGTATGTGGACTAGGCGTTCGCAGAACCTTTGCGATAGGGGAATGTTTTTGTTAATCTTTGTATGCGATTATTGAAGGTTATAGGATGTTGTTAAACCCTACTACCAGTCTAGAATCTTTGGTTATGTACACGCCTAGATAGAGCAATCCAAATAAAACCACGCAAAGAAAACGGCGCATGTTACGCGCAATGTGTGAGTAACTCTAATGTCAGATTAAAGCAGTCAACGTGGGCTTGTGTAGCGACGAGCGTACCTACCATACGTAGAAGATATTTTTTGGGGCGCTTCTGTGCAGTAAATGCGGTATCTAAGCGTGTTTATAATCAAAGTCTAGAATACTTTCATTGCAATGTGTAATTGAACAACGTTTCTCCATATTATCTGATATAGGGGGTTTATTGAGTACATAAAGAAAAATTAAACGACGAAAAATGCGACGCGATGTTAATTTATCGTAATTTGGCTACAGTTCAACATATTTAAATACTATTTGATAATCGAACTAAAGAGCTAGTTGAATTTCAGCTTTTCAGCAATGTTAGTGACCATGAAAGTTTAAAAATAAAACAACAGGCATCCACTATTAAATATTTAATACGTACTGCGTCAACACAGGTGGATCCGGGTCCATCTTCTCAAACTGTATGATCTCTTCGAAAGATCTCTCGTACCATTGGTTGACCATGCCCACTGAGGGCATTCGCAACAGGTTCTCGGGCAGTAGAGCTATCTCCTTCATTATGTTCGCTAGCCTGCAGGGAGATAAAAGACAAAATATGAGCTCAAAGAATATACAATACAATAAAATTGTGTACACGGATCACACAGCTGAAGTGAAACTTCTTTTCTTAAATAACCTAACATTAGGCGGTGCAAAAGGCATAGGGGAATGGAGCAGCGCACGCATCACTCATATAATTATATGTATACTAGCGGCCCGCCCTCGCTTCGCTTCGGTGTAGAGCTGAAGTGTAGACTATAGTTTTTGTTCTCAGGCTTGTATTATACACATTGACATTCATCTATGATTCTTCTTATACCTGCATGCAAAGTCTCAGCCCGATCGGTTTAAAATTGACAAAGTTTCATTCCCTATTTTATTCCCTTGGGGGTAGAATTGATCAAAATCCTTTCTTAGCGGATGCCTACGTCATAACATCTACCTGCATGCCAAATTTCAGCCCGATCTGTCCAGTGGTTTGGGCTGTGCGTTGATAAATCACTATGTCAGTCAGTCACCTTTGAGTTTTATATATATAGATTGCCGCGTGTGACGCCCGGAGCGTTTCAGAGTTCGCTGAGTTACCCTCAAACTTTCATGCTTGCATATAAGCGTCACAAAAGATATAGTCGTGTGACGCTTATTTTCATTTTTTCCATCGGATTTATCCATTTACAACCAGTCCGAGAATAAGTTTCATCATTTCACCAGTAAAATAAGTACATATCTTAGAGGAAGAAAAAAACGACACCTCTACTCATCATCACCGCCCTATTAATGTCTCCATTTCTGGGGCACAGGCCTTCCCTGTGGATGGAATAGGGAGATTAGGCCATGATCCAACACGCGGACCCAGTGCGTATGGGTGGTATGCTAACGACTGCAGAAGCAGCTGGACGCAATGGCTTAACATGTCTTCGGAAGCACGGAAGAGCTCATGATAATAAATTTTATTGGTAACCCATCCGATAATCGGCCGTCGTGTAAGTTGCTTAACTGCCACGATCGCAAACCGAGCACGCTAACCACTAAACCATAAAGCACCTTTAGACATTTAAGTATAATGAGTCCTTCCTCCTATAAACAATGTTTAATTGATGTAATTACCTATGCGCTGTTAAATTGTATAATTAAAATGAAGCTACTTGCTGCTAGAATGTTAATGTTATGCGAACTGCGCAGTAAATGTAGATGCATTGCAACGTGCACTGGATGTTAATTGGTAGAAAAGAAGACCAGTGATTCTCAAAGTGGTGTATTCGTACCCCAAGGGGGTTCGACTGCTGTCTGCACGGAATTCAGTATTTTGTGGACATCGAGTTCCAATTTAACTATAGTTAAGGTTTAAAGTTGAGTGAATGAAATACATGAATAACTTAATTTTTCATGGCGTTTGTTATTCGATTTCTAACTAAAACAATGAGGCAATTCATATCAAAAGTGCATAATTTAACATTAATGGACTATTGTGGATAATAATATAACCTCGTGCGAACGTGACGTTTGTCGGTTATCTATACTTATAATAAATCTGTAGAAAGGTCAATTCTGTACATGAAATATATTTTTAAAATAACTATCAGGGGGTGATTAGTGATCGATACTGATGCCAAAAATGCAATCAGTAAAAATTTTGTCTGTCTGTCTGTCTGTCTGTGTGTATGTTCCTTATAGAAACAAAAACTACTCGACGGATTTTAACGAAACTTGGTACAATTATTCTTCATACTCCTGGGCAGGTTATAGTATACTTTTCATCACGCTACAATCAATAGGAGCAGAGTAGTGAAGGGAAATGCTGGGAAAACGGGAGAAGTTACTCCATTTTTTAAGCTTCCGTCGCGTGTGCAGCCTTAATGGTTAAAGTTACATAGAAATCATGTATGACGGAAATATTTTACATAAAATTGTCTAAAAAATATCCCGCAACAGCATATGTCTATCTTTTATGGTTGACTCACAATAACACGTGTAACTCCTGATAGCTTAACAGTTCGGAGCATTCTGATTATATTTATTTACTCTTACGTTTATAATACTCTCACTCATCCCTAATTTAAATAAGTTAACATTATTACCTATTCAATAAAAAAAGAATCATAGAAATCGGTATATAAACACCAAACTTATACATGAAATAAGCCATCGCGCCGTCGCACGTGAATACTGAATCATGCTATAAGGATTATTTTTGTGTAACGGTTGGAAACACTGATAATTTTAGAGGTTTTTAATGTAAGGTCGTAAATAAACACAGTTTTTTCCGCTTACATTGCAAACGCTGGCTGAACCCTACGAGATCGATCAAAATAATGTACTACAGTATTGTATACCTTAAAAATGTCTACAAAAAGTCCGCCATAGACAGATACTGTCTATCTCTTAGGGATAACCCACAATAACCATTTTATACCCTATACTTTTTACGAGAAATAATAGATTATTTACGAAGCGATTTTCAGCAATATAACATTCTTCCTTATCCAATTAAGTACCTTAAATACATTGTGCATTTAATATAGACCAATTTGGCTATTTAACGCATGTAATTTAAATGAATATTTTCGAAGATATTACAGATTTAAAATGCAGGGACATAGCGGTTCCGACGCTACCGGGCGGGGCGCCTGGTGGCGCGTGCCTATTGTAATTAGGTATTAGAAGAATGTCATTGGGTATAATACAAGCCTGAGAACAAAAACTATAGTCTACACTACAGCTCTACACCGAAGCGAAGCGCGGGCGGGCCACTAGTTATTTATATTTAATAAAATACGATCAATGGTCCTTCAGAATGATATGAAATTATACTTTACTAGCAAACCAGTGAACCAAATGTTCACCAAAACCTGATTTAAAAAAAATGTATTTAATTAATTGAGAACTTCGGATATTTTGTGTGGTTTCGTTTGAAATTCGTGATTTCTCGAAAACCGGAAGCGCTACGTTACTCAAATCCGGTTTGTAGTCTTATCAGACTATTCTTAACTTATAACTTAAATATTCTCTTTATCTATCTCTTACGGTTTGGCCGCTGAAACAGCACCACAGACGGACGGACTTGTCTAATAGATAAGAGATTCATATTGACTTATTGAAAGTTCTTTTGAATAGTCCAATATTTTTTCCTACCACTCATTAAGATAAGATTAATTATGACATATTTAATGTCTCAATCCAGGTCATAAATAATATGTGTAACAAAGGACATTGTTCTGCGTCCATACGTAGTCAGCCTAAGAACCAACAATCATGAAATATTATTTTCTAGGTTCGAAATCGCAAGTAAATGACTGTAAAAACAAAGATTATTGACGGACACTTCTGAAAACTTAAATTATTAGGAAAACTAAAATTTTTTTGAGGTTATGTTTAATATTCACTGAAACATAGGTCAACCTATGAACTTAGTATGAACTCAGTATGAAGTAAATTAATATTACAGCTAATTCATTTTATTCGGTGCGATTTTAAAGAACAACTATTAGGAAGAACTTGGTTAGGTAGGAATCATGAATAAAATAAAAACAATAGTTTTGCTTCTTATTATTTATTGACTATTTTTCACATAATTATATCATATTGTATTTATTTGTTTAACACATGTATATTGTGTTAATATGCAGCGTGAATGGTGCTCTTGAATAATTTGGCAGTATGATCCTCTCAGGATGTTGTGGCACAGGTTCACTAGCACTTGGTAATAAGGTCTCTCCTCTTTGTTAACTTCGATGGCATATTAGATAGCCGAAATATTATGTACAGTTAAATTAAAGGAAAAACAATCGCAAATAAACACACACAACAGGTAATCCGAATGAGAATTTTCCGTATATAAAAAGTACTCTTTGACGAGATGCACGAATGCCACAGATTACTACGAATGCAAACTGCCTGCACCACAACCACAGAGTATCAAGTTTATGCCGGCCCTTCACTTGATAACAGTTTGTCCTTGTCATGCTTAATAAGGAATGAAAAGGACAGACTGATGTCATGTTTTTAAATAGCAAATACGAATAGCCAAGTGAAGTGCCGGCATTAGTAAGAAAGTGTTTTTTGTTTGCAGCGCTGTTATAGATTATACACAGAAAATGGTATTTATTGTCTCAGATTATTTATTAACTTTTTAATTTAGCTTACTTAACTGGAAGTGTCCGTCACAATCTAAATACTGATAATTATCGCAAAAAATATTCTAAGAATTATCATAAATGCCAAATTGGTGTTGGTTCTTAGGCCAATTTTAACATTGTCCGTTCACCCAAAGCCGTTCCGCCTTTTTGATTGATTGACAAACATAGCAACTTTCATATTTATAATATATTTATTTATTTGCTATCATGTACAAAAGTTAACAGATGTTACATTTGTTTTAGTTATAGTACATGACCCTGTAAGGGTATAGCAAATTTTTTTGAACTTATACTTCTTTAGCCGCGTTATGAAAAAATTATGAGAGTGAAATTTTAAGATGCGCGCGCATCACTGTAACACAAAAGTAACATAATGAAGTTAACCGCGGGCGCGTTATGAAAAAATGATGAGAGTGAAATTTTAAGATGCGCGCGCAACACTGTAACAGAAAAGTAACACCATGAAGTCGGCCGCTAAACCGCACATTACTCGTAAGTCTCGAAAAAAAGCTTCCAACAAAATAGTAATAGGATGTTGGTTGGATGGATGTTGGGACGCTCGTCGCCTCTGATTACTGTTTTCATATTTATAATATTTATCCACATGTTTCTAGTTTCTATATTCTTAACATGTGTTACAATGTTATACAAATGCGAAATTTATATATGTGCTAATAAATTTTATTCAGTAGTGATTTAAATTGAATATTTTGATTATTTATTAAAGTTTTCAAATTAAAACTGAACTTTATTGACTGCGTTGACTATCCTTTTCCAATCCTTTTATTATCTTATTGTAATTAATTATCTGCATGCAATTAAAAACTATTTTTTAATAATTCCAAAAAGAAGTATAACTTCTCACGCGCGTACTTAAGTACACGCATCCATATTTTTTAATTATATTCGTTTGTTCTCTTTATTGCAATGGTCTGATATATTATGTTTATGTCTTCTTTGTGTTTTTCATTTATTTGTCAGACCTAGTCCCGGGGTGACGCTATTCCATAAGTCCCAGAGGGCAGGTATTGCAAGATTAAGTTGATAATGGTGTCGATTCTAGCATAATTCTCTAAACCTAAACTTAAATTTGACAGCAGTATATCCTAGTCATTTTTTATACAGAATGAAAAGGAGAGACTGATGTTAAATTTAGTTTTAAGTTTAGAGAATCACGCCAGAATCGACACCAATATTATATAATAAGTAGCTGTCCCAGCGAACTTCTTACCGCCATAAAAAAATAGGGGTTGATGGTAGAAGGGTGATAAAAAATAAAATCAAAAATTTTGTCAAAAAAAAATTTAAGGTTGGACCACCTTTAACATTTAGGTCTGTTACACAGTATTCGATAATGTAGGTTCATTGTTAGTAAAAGCAAAGTCAATACACGTAGACGATGTCTTTGTTACGCGAGTGGGTTCATTAATTATCAATTTTAGATTAAAGGATAGCATTAAGTTTATTTATTAGATATTTTGCTTAGTTTTAGTGAAAGTATTTATGTTCAAGTAACCTAAAATTATTATGTTTTTATTTTTGTTTTTAGAATTGAGTTTTTTCAATAATTTGAACATCTGTTGTTAAAATATATTTATTGAGCGGTCCGCTCTCTACAACCCTATTATTATATAATTTAGTTTAGTTAATTCAATTGCACTAAATTCTATGACAAATTCTTTTGTCAAATTGACAATGTCTTTTCTCTCAACAAAGCAATAGTGCACTTAACAATTGTGCAGACTCCTCCTCCTTTATGACGTTCACGGCAGAATTTTAAAGCTATTTTATACCTTGCCCATGTAATAGAATCACAAAAATATTTATTTACTTCAGTAGGATAAACTGACATTGGGTAGAAGACAATTAGTTTAAAATCATAGCTCGACATCGAAACAGTTGCATTGTAATGACAGACAAATCATATTCAAAGAAATAATTCTAAACTCACCTCACTGGTAGTTCCTTTCTCAGAAACGTGAATGATTTCTTCTCACACGCATTGAGACCTGGAACAAAATATTTATATAACATAAATAAATAAAAAACTAAGATGATTTATACTAAACATTGCCAGTTGACAAACATGAAAAATTTAAATCTCATAGTGTGAACAAACTCTACCTCCAGGTGGGTCATTTATCTCCACTTTGAGAAACACTGTAATTACAATAGGAAATCACTAATAAAAACTATATTACCATTACCTATGAAAATTGAAACCTAACTATAAATGCATCTAGGATTTGTAGTAAATACAATTATAGAATAAGCTAAATCATTGCTTTCCCTCACATAATAAAATCACAATAATATGGTATTGTTAGACTATCAAAAGCTAAATCGGACTTTACGACCGTACTCACAGCCGTCAATTAAATTTGATGCTCGTTGTCTTATTCTATTTATAGCGCAAAAAACGACAACAACTTTGATAAAACTACAAAATTAATTGGTGTGTATCATGCGATGTAGGCCGCTAATGTGTTAAGGTGGTATCAGATGACTAGGTTCTAGTCGTCTAAAATAGCACTAGACTAGCATGGAAAAGCTCTGTATACACACACAGAGCCATAGATGTCATGCAAGCGAGATTGCCGCTAGTTGATGATATCAATGTAAATCTGACAAAAAGAATCAGGTTTTTGATTATTCGGAGAGGTCCTACACTAAAATCATAAATGAAAATTGTCTGAAAACAGTTCCTTCCAATAACTATGTTTTTCTATGTATAACATCTTTCCTCTCACTTTCCTGCAATTTGTGAGAATGATTTCGTGAAATGGGACGGAAGTGTGTCGCGAAATCGCGTGCTATTTGATTTGATTTTAGAACATAATGTTGAAATGGCTTATTCCTTTTGTAGTAGGTTTTATTTCTTTTTTTACTAATATAAGGTCAGATTTCAAATTTTACACAGCATACGCGACTACTGTAAGGCTCGCTCGTTATTTTTTTATATCGGTGTATATCATTTCTTTGTTTTTTGAGAATTGCAAGTTGCCGTCAGAAGTATACAAACCACAATTTTTGTACCCTTACACTTAACACTGAGATATATTGCGTAATGTTATCCACTACCTAGGTAGCTAGCTACCACATACTATCCTATCTACCACTACGAGTAGAAAATTCAATACAATCGTTTATCGCCGTTTCTATAGTAGCAGGAGAACAATTTCACGAACCGATGATATAGAAAATACGACGAGCAGATGGAAAGTACTAATTCAATCCTCCTGACTAACAGGGCACACCCATTAGGATGAAAGTAATTTTCATTTTAAGGAAGCGGCAATTTAGCCCCGTTCTAACCCCTTACTTTAAGTTGTGAGACTGTGGAGTCCATGGGAATACAGCTTAATATGATGCTTCAGAAAAGTTTGCCACTTCAGCTACCTCACACCTTGCCGGCCTGAACACAATACTCACTCTATATCTAGGAACTACATATTGATAAAATTTTTAATCGCCTTTACACACAACCACCAAAATGTATTATAAAGTAGTGATATTTCACGCCATGGTGTTCTGTTAAGGTGGTAGTAAATTCCCTATGCCCATATATATATTTCCGTGCCCCCCGCACGAGAGTGTCATACCTTTTCATAATAATTGGCTTCACACAGGGTCTTTAGTTCCGTTTAACTCAGTTGGGTGTAATCAGAACAAAACCGTACTTTTCGGTTGACACCCAAGGAGTTCTTTTTTAAATACGGATCCGGAAAACGAAGCAAGACCTAAGCAGATGTCTAGTCTAGAGAGCTACTGGCAAAGCATTCAATTATGTCCACGATAAAAACTATATTAAGTATGGAAAGCCTATAACGCCAATAACATAATGCCGAGGCTCGGACAACAGCGGTGTGACATGACCCCCAGGTAAAGAAATCTAGCCCAGTAACTAACGCGAGAACAATACCTATGATGCCTTGTATGTGTGCTATCAAAGTCAACCGTAGAATAACCAAAAATAAATCGTCACTAAGTTCTTTCCATGCGGTGCTCGTCGCATGTCGTTTAGTAAACAACTATGTCCTTGACTGACTCACATCGTCACATCCCAACACGACAGCAGCAGTGACAATGTATTAAGCAAGCGGTACAAAGTGCGAGACCGAACACATGTTCGAATTATCTGCAGTTACTTAGTTGATATTTCTTTTATTTATTATACTTCCTACTTATTTTAAATATGCGACGCGGTAAAATTACTGACTAAGACAAAGTAACAATTTTTTTGTCAATATAGCATTATGTTGTTCAATGCTATGGAGTTCTTTACACCCGTCCTTCTACACAGTTAGATCTTTAAAAATATACTAAAAGAAAACCTTAAATAAATAGTTCAAGTTTATTGTGGGCGAGTTATTATTACTAGCAAACGCCCTCTACCGATGGCTGCCGTCGCAAGATATCGTTTTAAAACGAAACTATTGAAAATATATCACAAAGATAGAGACTCATTTGTGTTACATCACAAAGCTAAAAGGGACTTCCGATTTCCGCGTCGAGTTAGTTGGCTATAAATAAACGACCGACCTTGGTAGTCATGTGTGGCTCATAGTCCGGACGACGATACATAAGATTTCTAGTAAAACAGGTAAAATTAACATTTACTGGCGTCTTGCATATTTCTTAAAAGCTAATTTACGAAGGGGCGAAGGTAGTACATTGACGATATACAGTAAACACTACCTACACAAGTGCTGGTATTTCTAACCATAGCCTTTCTTTTGTTTTCAACGAAATTATTGCTTTTTCTGTAGTCTCTTGATAGTTTGCTGACGAAAGTTATCTCAAAATAAAAGATAAGGGACTGCGCGTCGGGTGGACACCCGCCTCACGCAGCGCTGCTCTGTGACATAACATAAAACAAAAACGCGGAGCGGACGTCCGCTCCGTGCTACCGCTTAACAAAGCGCACGCCCTTAAATAAGTTAATTGGTGCTTTCATAAACGACTTTTGCTTTTAAATTAATCAATATCACTTCTGATTCTTTATTTTTATCAACGAAGGTTATAATATAAAGCCTCTACAAAAGACCTCTTACTAGCAACGAGGCCCAATGAAAGCGGATACTGTATCTATTGTAGTTTTAAAAATACTGAACGGCGACTGAATGACTTCAGTATTCGCCGTTAAAGTTTCTTGACACAACAATTACTTTGATGTCTTCGACAACAGTATAGCCTCCTTTTTTGCAAATATTTTTTATTTCTCTTAATTCGAGAGTCACGACTCACGGCGGTCGCGGTGATTATAAACAAGTTCGTCCTTGAAGTTCACCCAAAAATTACACACCTCCACGCCGCAGTGCAAAGTCCACGCGTGTCAATGGAATCAAATTGGCAAGTTGATACCGAGACAAATAAATATACGAACATTGGCAAATTCGGTGGAACATTAAGATTGACACTATGTTTTTAGCATCACATGCAGATGGGTTTTCTAAATTAATTCAATCGAAGGCGCGAAAGCAAACATCCTCGGCTTTTTAATTTTTCAAACATCGTCCACTTATTTAGTGTAGAATGTTTGCCACGATTCATTCTTCTTTACAATTTTTTTAGACAGTAATAGCAGGCCATCCACTACTATTCATTCCTGTGGGAATTTATAATACGCACGGATTGAATGGTGGTTAATTACTTGGTTGCTCTTCCAAATCAACTACTGCACAATCCGTTCGGATTATAGATTCCGGCAGGAATGAATGTTAGAGGATGGCCCACTAATATATCCTGGATATTAACCGCAGAATCAGTCAGGATCACGCACGATTTGATTTTCATTTGATGCTGAACGCAACAGCAGTTACGTCTTAATTAATTGCTGCATTCCAGAAATTATACAAACGTTTGGTTTCGGTCACATCCCACAAAGCGTAAGTTTAAAAGAAATATTTATAGAATAACATCTCTTAAAATGATAGAGGTATTCCTGCAGATAAGAAAATTGATCCTAATGCATTGCGGTAGGATGTGGCTTCTAAGTACTGCGACTGCAATATCTAGATTCTATTGGAAAAAGTGAAGATTAATTTCTAAACATTTCATATCACAATTTCCGTGCAGTGGTGCTACTCTGTAAGAACAGACTCGCTTTTCACCTTGGACTCCGCAGTATAATTTAAAATTAGAACACGGATATCAAATAAATTTCAAATCACACCAGCGAATTCATTTGGTAAAAAGTGAGTTTTTTTTTACAGAATAGCATCACAGTTACTAAATTTTCAGAATGTAGGCTGGTCGCGTCACTATTACTTATTATCTGTTAGTTCAGCAACAAAAACTTAAGTGACAGTCATTTGTGTGCTATTTAAAAGTTTAAAATCCTTCACTCCTGTTTTCCAGTGTAGATAGTAGGCACTGCAGAAATAATTGATATTCTGTTGTTACCGTAAAATTTTCGAAATACATATATGGGTACTTAACTTCAATTATGATGTTTACTGCAATGCAAATGGTATTATATATACAATGTATAAAGTTATTATTCATCCCGGCCATACCTTAATGAACAAAGCAATGAAATTGTGGTTTTGGCAATTTACGTGTCAAATACATAGCTGGATCTAATAAATTCATCGTGTTATATAAAATTGCGTAATAACGATACCAGAACAAAGACTTCCGTTTCTAATGCTCAGAAAAAATAGTGATCAGCTGTTATTACCAGTTATTTATCATTATTATCCATATACAGTTATCCATTCATACTAATAAAATTAATGAGAAATTAACTCCGCTGCTAGTTGTTAATAATGGGTCTAAGCCTCTAGGCCCGTATTACAGAATGACAACTAAGTGTTGATCTTGACTTTAGCACAGTTAGAAAGGGATGTCACTATGTGCTATATATAGCGACATCCCTTTCTAACTATGCTCAAGACTAGATCAATCACTGAGAATCTTTCTATAATACGGGCCTTAGTCAGTGATTCTCAAAGTGGTTCAAGTGGACCCCATGTGGTCTCAATATCAACCGCAATGCAAATTTTCA